AACATTTTACCGATGTTCCTTTTTTGACAACAAAATCATTAAATTCTTCTCCCACTATCGCCCAATCATTGCTTAAACAAAATGTAAAGGCTTAAAAATATTTTTAAATTCCATAGAATATTGCCAAAAATTATCATTAAATATTTTAAAACTATTGATGTTAAGAAAACGGCAGTTAGTTACAGTTTCCATTAAAGTTACTGCATCCGTAATAGACAGATACAATATCACATTATTTAGCCACTATTTTAATACAAGCGTCGAATATGGTGTGTTTCCTGATTTAATGAAACATAGTAAAGTTATACCTTTATTAAAATCTGGTAGTACATCAGATCCTGCCAATTTTAGACCAATTTCTGTACTACCAAGTTTAAGTAAAACTATTTTTTTTTAAATATTTTACATCAGATGATAAGTTTTTTAATGAAAATAAATGGGCTCCATACAAGTCATTTTGGTTTTACAAGGGGTCGCACGACAACCGATGCCGGAGTTGAGCTTATAAAATATATTTTTTGTGCATGGGAGAATTCAGAGGATGCTTTGGGTATATTTTGTGACCTTTCTTATCATTTCTTATTAGTCAATTAAGTTTTGGATTGTGCATGGAGTATAGAGGTAAGGAGGACAATCTCCCATAGGAGAATAGTTGAAAATGTGTCCATCTTTAAACAGTAACTAACAGTTCAAAAACTCTCTACAACATCGCTAGAGTAGCTAGAAGGTATGAAATGAACTTAGCAGTTGTCGACTTGCAAAACTGCAGTATTTAAAACCTCAACTACTCACGTTGTCTAAAAAAAATTAGTAAATATAACCTAGAAAAGTCGCCGTGAAACACGTTGAGAGAGATTTTGAAATTAAAATTTTTGAAAACAATAAAATTATTATTTTATAAAAGAATTATGGTGAGTCTGTGTAATAAAAGTTATAAAAGGTTCTTTAAAATTTATACTTTAACTACAGTGGCGCCACCCTTATTTAGCGCTTCCCTACGGAACCTTTTAATACAGAGACGCTTCTCCTTTCCTCTACACTTCATGCAACAACAGGGCTAAATATTAAAAATAAAAAACTGCCTCAAGATACTGGCATTGCATTTATTGTTCTGAAAAGTTTATTCATCCACCGTCGGAAGATTGGATATAGTGCAATTCTTGTTAATAATTTAGGATGTTACTTAGTTTCTAGCTGATTTTTATTAAAATGTTTTGATTTTATTGAGATTTTTATTAAGGTTTTTGTTTGATCCAATTCACCCGTCGTTGTGACGAATCTGATATTTCTTATTTTTGCTTTATTTGTATTTTTATGGAAGAAAGTGTAAGTTAAATTTAAGTTTGACATTGCTAAGTTATGCTTTAATATGCAAAACGTGTAATGGTGTCAATAAATACGATGTTTTAAACAAATCAGTTGTCATTTTTAATGCTTCAAGTTAAAATTGATCCAATTCAGGGCGAACAGGTCTACCCTACAAACACTCCAGCACTACGACATACAGACAGTAAACTTGGCAGAAGTTTCGACGGAATCAAAGGCTTTCTCATAGTACACATAAGCAAGACAAAGTGGCAGATTGTACTCTTCGGTCTTCTGTACAATTCGCCGAAGGGTGGGTAATATGTATGTGGTCTATGGTGTTAAAGCCACTCTCTTAGTCCGATGGAACGGACGCAAGATCGACAGCTTTACGTGCTTTCCGAGATACGGGAATAAAACACTGCAAACTGAATATCAAGACTGATTCAGGAACCCGTCTTGCTACTCTAGAATTTCTTGACATAAAATCTCAATAACAGATTTTTGACCCGACTTGAGATTCGGATCCGGGATCTCATGATCAGCAGCCGCGTTCACGACAACTAAACCAGCGACGCAACAGAAATAAAAAAATGTGTAAAAAAAAAACTAAAGAACACACATTGTGTGATTGTTTTGTGTATATACCAGCGACATCTGGTGAAGATAAGAGTATTACTTATTAGACCTCATTAACAACCGACGCTCTACCGGCTGACAAATAAGGGTATATCAATGCGAAAATGCCAGTTCAAAATCTCGTGAACTTGTTAATAGAGATAATCGCCAAATTTCACTATCGCCCATCGCGACATAATTTGCGATACAATACCTCTATGTATGTGCATTTACTAGAAGTTTTCTACCTCGCACATCTTTAAGGAATCGGTTACCAACAGCGATTTTTCCGGGCTGATGCGACTTAAGGACCTTCAAGAGCCTATTTTTTAAAAGGCCGGCAAATGAAATTCTCCTAGTGTTGCAATTGTTCATGGGCGTCATCAGTATAACAGCTGTCGATTTTGTGACTCAAGTTTGCATGATAACAGTCGATTTAGAAAGGCATGTAAATAAAAATATACCTGCTATATGTAAAGGTTTCATTTATTACTTCTATAAAAATAAAATTTATTGAGGCAGTTACTATATTAGTTATAAAAGTAAATGTACAAATTCAATCATCAAACATATTAAGAGCATCAAACATTTAATTTTGCTTCTTCACCCATAAAACCCTCAACACATTTACATTATTTTACATTATGTCGGTCTCCGCCGAACACATTATAAACGATCACTTAGCAATAAACAATATCCATAGTGGTGGGGTGGATACCTCTCACAAAACAAGGGTAATGGGGGCAGTGGTACAGAAAACATAAAATAACACGCAAGCAATAGACGACGATCGACTGAATAACTCGAGAAGTAAAGTTCACTGTAGTCATGTTCCAGTACTTCACCAAGGTACCAGCCGACATACGGTTCACGGCTGGGCACAGGCTCCTCACATTCGTCTATTAGAGATTTTTTGGGCCTATAATCTGTTTAGCTATGTACAGAAAATGTTTGCAACATTTAAGATGTATCTATAGTGGTATACTGGCATGTAGATGACGCTACACTGCCACCAACCTATCTGTTGGACAAAATTGGAACTAAGGCCGCCATTGAAGTGATAAGAGATAAATGTGGTATGCAAGATGATGTTGTGACCAGGATTTAGAAAGGAATGCTTCGGTGGTTTGGTCATGTAGAATGAATGAGGAAAGAGTGACAAAGCAAATTTATATGGCAGATGTGAACGGCAGAGTCGGGAAGGGACGCCCTAGAAAAAAGTTTATCGACCAAATTGGCGATATTTTAAAAATGGGCCACGTTAGAAGTACCTTTAACCGACGTGCATGTATGCGTAGATATATGGATGTAAAGGAGGCGAAAGAGGTATGTCAGGATCGTGCCAAATGGAAGTCCGTAGTCTCTGCCTACCCCTCTGGGTGACAGGCGTGAGTGTTTATGAATATGAATTATGAACGTAACATAATTACCGCACTTTGAGAAAGTAGTTTGTTCAGAATCGTTTACTGAATCGATTCCTATCATTTTTAATATAGGTAATTTTTTATCCCAAAAATAATTAAAACTACGTAAATTACTATCACACTAAATGTATACAGTCAAAACAAACTGAAATGGACCGTAAGTTAAGGCAATAAGACTTTTAAGAGTGCAGTTTATTTGTATTATTACTAATTCTGTCATTCAATAAAAATAAAGAAAAATGAACTTTATTTCAAGCACGTAAAAGTCTTTGCGTTCGTGGATTTGTACTGTGACCACAACATTCTTCCGGAATTAGTATAACTAATTTGATAAATTATAATCGGTGCGTAAAAATGTTTAACTAAAAATTCAGTGTATGTATTATGATTATAAGATAATATACTAATTGGGGTGTCTGAGGGTGTATATATATATATATATATATATATATATGTGTGTGTGTGTGTGTGTGTGTGTGTAGTCGCCTATATCCTCAGTAAATTTCTTAAGAGGCAGTAGTGAGCTCTTCACTAGCGACTCTGTCAACTGAACAGTAAAATTGGTGGCACTATATATGTATGTATATGAGTCAATTTTTGACTAACACAAATTGGCGGAAGCTAATACCCAAGCCCACTTTGAGAATTATTTGTTGTAATTGCACTTTAATCAGTATACTTGGAACCAGCAAGTTAAACATATATTTAAACACTAAATCCACACTTATTTTACTTATTACAAACCATATCTTATAGTAATTAAGGAATAATAAATAATATTACATATTTAAATTAAAACAAAACTGGACACACAAAAATAATAAAATATTTCTGTCAACTTATGGCAATAAATGATGAGGTTAATTTTAAATTAAACTCTACCAGAAATGTAATGTAAATTTGATAATAATTAACTTAATCAAAATAAACAAAATCGAATTGCTCCTATGATAATATAATATAATATGTTTAAAATTAAACACTTAAATATATACATTAAAAGGTTGCAATCTTGAATCTTTAATTATCAATATTATTGTCAAATCGTTGATAACATTATAAACGTAAATACATAATGCTATTCTTACTTAGAGCTATAGTATTTTAAAAGAAATAAAAGCAGCTTTATGTAATATTGTTACCGTTACAGCCTATTAAAGCACACTGCTGAACATAGGCCTCCCGCATAGATTGCATCACAGGGAGGATATTTGCCATAATTACCACGTTTGTCAACCGGTTGGCAGTTTTTTATTTTTAATCATTATTAGGAAGATTCTGCTGCCCATCTGATTTGTTTCCCTCTGTCGCCTTTTACGACACCCACGGGATGATATGGGGTAGTGGATATTCTTAACTGCCACTATACCATACAGGCTTAATGTATTATGTAGAGTACATAATTTAAAATCACATAATTTATTTTTAACATTGCTCATGATTTAAATACAACAGGCTGATCTTGTTTTTAAAAAAAGCTAATACAATACATATGAATGTATATACTCTAATATTATATAAAACATTCTGTTTCAATTTGCACTATTGCTTAATATTTTTATTTTGGTAAATCAAACAACTTAACATGATTAGAGTATTGTGGACTGAAATCTTATTTTACTGATGCATAAATTGTTGTTTTCATTGAATTATTCATTCAATGACTAAATCAAACTCATCCACCTCTTCACACATAGAGTTAAAACCTGCAGCCCATGCCTCAGCTTCTTTTGCCTGAAAAAATACAACAGACTTGTAAAAAAAAGTTCCAATTTGAATCTATTTAATAATATCTCTATAAATAAATATATTTTTTATGGAATAAGGGTGACATGCGAGCACACAGCCCACCTGATTGTAAATGGATACTGTGGCTCATCACAGACATCTACATATTATGTATTTTCTTGATTAAGAATCGAAATGAAGAAGCATTGTCACCCCTGAGGACTAAGATGGAATGCCCCGTATCCAGTAAGGAGGGACTCTGGTTCTCTGCACACAGCACAGCAACATTGATCTGCTATTTTACACTGGTATTCTGTGAGAGTGTGGTCCTTCCCCGGTCAAGTCGACCCATTTGTGCTACAACCAGAATATAGGTGAAACATGGCTCTACCACACATAAAATAATAGAGAATGAAATGAAATAAATAGAGACTCTTACTGGTGAATTTAATTAAGTGAAAGTTGAAACCAATCCTATCAATCTCGAGTAAGTAAGCCCCAGGTAGACATACTCTCGGTATTCTATAGGTTGTATACTATACTTCACGGTAGTATGTACTAAGACTCTTTCTGCCAAAAAGTTTTACTCTTTATTTACGTGGTAGAGCCATGCTGCAGCTATATTAATTGTATAGTTGTAGCACGAATGGGTCGGCTCGACTGGGGAAGGACCATGCCCATGGAATACCAGCTTAATGCTGCTGTTTCTTATGGTAAGTGTAGAGAACCAGAGACCCTTTTTACTGGAAAAGAGGCATTCTATCTTAGTCCTCAAGGCGGACAATGCATCTGCATTTTGATTCGCAAACGAGGATAGATGTAGATGTCTATGGGCCACAGCAACCATTTACCATCAGGTGGACTGTATGCTCGCTAATCACCCTTTTCCTATAAAAAAAGTCCATATTGATAGGTACTATTTTATTGGATAGGTACCCTTGTACTATCCTCATACTTACACTTTTACAACAAAGTCCCAGAAAATATGCTGACCTTATCTATCAAAAGCTTTAAAATATTATATGTTAAGTAAAAATTATTTAGTAAGGATTATTATACTACTAAAGAGTACATGATTGATAATAACCCCTGAGAATGAGATGGTAGCTACCATGCTGTTTCGAAATGTTTACACAACAATTGTACAAATGTTATATTGTAAGTTATGCTTTAACAAAACTCCACTGGGTTTCTTGATGGTTTTTCCCAGGACAGAGAATTTTTTTCTGAACCAGTGGTAAAACTAAAAAATTACTTTCACAAATAAATACCTACATGTGATCAATATTGATAAAAAATGATTCTATTCTATTCTATTGGATTATTTAGGATACTTAAATACTATGCAGTAAGATGTTAGTTTATACTTTCAACAATCATTCCACCTTGGTTACACACACATGCTGTATAATTTTTACAAGAAATAATTATTGCATGACATTCTTAAAAGATAAAACATAATATTATGCTGTTGTGGCCGTCTTTGTAGATAATTTAAATACCTAGAAGTACGTAGTCGAGTTTAGTTAAATAGTGTATAAATAGAAACATTTTGTTGCGTAATCAAGTCATAAAAAGAAAGGATCATACCGACAAATCGCATCCTTGCAAAGCCAAGGTAAGTTAGTGAGATTATAACAAAGCAGTATAGTGAAACTAAATCATACCTCTTTCTTTGAAAACTGTTTGTTGGGTTTCTTCTTTCTTTTAGGTTTCTTCGGTTCCATTGCAGGCTCTTGGAAAGTTAGGTCAAGTAAATTGTCTTCTTCTTCGCTGGACTTATTTTGCTCAACAAGATCACTCTCTTGTGTGTCACTTGACACTGAATTTTGTCGGAACGTGACCTTCTTATTTCTAGCATAGCTTTTTCTTGATGGCTATAAATATTTACAAGCAAATATAAATTATTCTGCATCAATTACATAGAAAAATATTGTTTAAAAAATTAAAGATTTAGATACTAGAAAAGAAAATATAGTTAATAGTGATTATATCATGGTAAAATATTAGCTTTGCATGAAGTAGCAGCGTAGGAGTCCTCTACCTTATGCCATGTTGTAGGTGCTGTACACAGTGACTGACTAAACTCAAAAATGGGATATGCAACAGCTTTTTCTCCATAACAATTGAATATGTGAGTGGCATTAATATAAATATAATAATTTACATTGTAGAGCCATGTTGTAGCTATATTATGATTGTAGAATGAATGGGTCGGCTCGACCAGGGAAGGACCACACTCTCACAGAATACCAACGTGAAATGGCAGCTTAATGCTGCTGTGTTTCATATGGAGAGTGTAGAGAACCGGAGGCCCATTTACTGGAATCGAGGCATTCCATCTTAGTCCTCAGGGGTAAGCCATATCTGCATTTTGATTCTTAATCGAGGTTAAATAGAGATTTCAATGGGCTACAGCAACCACTAACCATAAGGCGGACTGTCATTTGTCACTCTTATTATATAAAAAAATTATATACATCCTGTGGGACAATCTATAGGGAAATCGTGTTCAGCAATGGAGTGTTGGTGGGCTATTAGAAATGTTTGAATGTATGAAAAATGTATTAGCTTATGTTATACATGATGGTGTTTTATCTATGTTTTAATAAAATAACTGTGACAAACAAGCACATGGTCTACCTGATAGAAAGTGGATGCTGTGGCTCAATTAAAAATCAAAATGTAGTGTGTTGCCACCCCTAAAGACTAAGATGGAATAGCTTATTTCCAGTAAAAAGATTCTCAGATTCTCTACACTCACCATACAAACACAGCAGCATTAATTAACATGTAACTACTCTAATGCCCATGCATGCACTTACAACCCACTTCAAACTCAAGAGTCTACAGATGTGTCATCTAATATATAAAAAATGTCTGTGTGTTCACATTTTATATGCTGCTATTCCATTCATAAGATTGCACTATACTTTGTCAACCTATTGCTTGCACTTTCACGAAGGTTATAGCCATAGTACAAGTAACCTACACTAGGTGACGTGCGTATCATACTGACAAATTAATTTGAAAGTAATATATCATTTCTAATTAAACTATATAACTTTTACAAATTTAAAGTTATATTTCCACAATTATTTCTTCTGCGGCAACAACGCGCTGGATACCAGCTAGTCACCTATAAAATGAAACACCTTAATCTATCATTAGGCTAGGTCCAAACCACCACTGAAAAATAACTGTGAATGTTCTGTAGCCTACAGACAGTAGACATTGTGTACAAACATAAAGGGATATTCTACAAGGTCTGATATTATATTCTTACTTTAGATGGTTTATATATACTACAGACCCCTAAGTAGAAAAAACCTTCTACATAGTAAAATAACCAGATCACGTAAAGTGGAGAGAAAAAATCTTTGAGAGTATGATCTTTCCCCGATCAAACCGACCCATTCATGCTACTATTATTTATGCCATATACAATGAAATCTCGATAACTTGAACCTGGTTAAGTCATAAACCTCAGTAAGATGAACTCCTAAATATGCCGTATCTCAAATTATTGTCTTTGTAACTCGAACTAAGTGTTATTTCACAATGAGGTATTGATAGTCCATATTTATAGGACTAAGTAAGTCAAAGTTAGTAGAATATACTAACATCTTACTTGGAATTCCCAGAACTCATAGTAATGAAATCCAAAATTAATGTTTGTTTCTTCTGTTCTTTGTACATGTGCAATGACTGTAACAAATCTGTGTAGTTTACGTTTCTTTATGTTTGGGAAAAATCTCTAAATTCTTGTTAAGCCGAAAACTCATTAACTTGAAATTTTAACATTTCCTTTAAAAATGGAGTTATTGAGATTCCACTGTATTTATTATTCACACTTATACAACTGCAGTGTAGCTCTATCACATATACATGTTTAAGTAAATTAACCTTACCTTTACATGATGTATTACATCTAGCAATTCAAGGTCTTCAAACAAATGCACAGATTGTGAGTCTTCTCCACTCAAGTTGGCACTATGAGCTATTATTGGATCATTAATGTCTTTTGAATTATCACAAATATTTTCTGCGTTTTCTTGACTGATTGGAGGGTTACTTGCTTTCATTTCATCAAAAATCTTGTTATTTCGAGCATTATCATTATTTTTATTTTTCTCTGTTTGTTTATATACAGCTCTTTTAGGCACTGTCTGTACATTTAGCTCTCGTAATACAGCTCTAGAGCGTGGTCTCAAAGCTCTTATGGGACACTTTTCTTTATTTGGTGATACATTTTCTTGGTTTTGTTCATCACTTTCATCAAACCCAAAGAATGTTACATCATTATCTTTTATGCTACTTTGTGGTTTTTGTTTATCATTTTGAATTGTTTCAATTGAATTCTCTTTATCACTAACAGATGTGTTATCTGTACTACTTGTGACATTGTCTGAAGACTTTTTCTTTATTGGTGTAACACTTTTACTTTTTTTATTTGAAGCAATTTGTTTAACTGGAGTAACTGCTGTTTCAGAAGTGTTTGTTATATCCTCAAAAATAGAATTAGTTTTTATTGGAGTAGCTTTGTTTTTGAATTTTTTACTGGTATTTTTGTCCACTACTTCTTTGAAAAATGAAATGATATTTGTCTGTTTCAAGTTTGTGGCATTATTACTTTCTATTATTTCTGGTAATGTGCAATTCTCTTCTGGCACCATGTTTGTATAGACATGCTTCCTTTTATTGTCATTGAAATTAATGAAGGAACTTTCAATTGCCGGAGTCATATTAGGTTTGACATATGTGTTCACTTGCCACTTTATAGGCAATCTTTCAAATTCAACTCTCCATGGTGTGGCCAAGGGGTTTCTCGTGGACACATTCATGCTACTACTAGCTGCTGGACATTCATCAAAGAAACTATGGTCATCTTGCAGGTTAAGCGGATCTTTATTTGTAGTGTTTACTTCCACAGCATTGTTATTGCCTTGTTTAGGCTCATTTGATATACTGACATGATTAGGAGAATTAACTGGAGAATAATTAATGTCACTATGACCATTGGCTACAGGTTCACTTTCTAAAACAATATCTTCTACTTGGAAGGAATTGTAATGTTTCTGTAGAGCTTCCTGGACTGCATTATTTACTTGTTTTGTAGCTGTTTTCGTTTCCTTGTTCTGATTTAAGTTCTGATTAGATGTAATATTCTTTTGAATTGTTTTTGTTTCTGTGACCGTCTTTTCAGTGTGTTGTTTAGTTTGTGATGATTTTGTTAATAGAATATTTTTTAAGGCTGCTAAAGACTTGGCCACATTTCTATCATAATTATTTGTGAGAATTGTTTTAGGCTTTTCCTTTCTTTTCTGAACAACCCTTTTACGTTTCTTTTTTTGTGGTGCAGGTTCTTCTGTAGGATCATAAGTAAATTCATAAACATCAAGGGTACTTGCATCTCTTTTCATTGCCTTTCTGTCATCAAAAACTTTGAAGGAATAGTTTTTTTCCAAGAATCGATAGCCGTTATTTTTATTTACATTCATACAAGGCAATGATGCAATACACAAACCTTTATCCTTAGTTAAGTCATTTGCATTGTTGTTAGTATCAGATTGCTTTTTACTTGAAACCATATCTTTTTTAGTGCCTTTCAGTGTTTTTTGTGTAGCCTTCTTAATAGGCAATGGTTTAGTTGACGGAACCTGATTTGTTTTTGACTTTTCTATGGATACATTACTATTTAGGCTTGTCTTTTCTTCTAAATTATCTTCTTTAATATTCAATCTATTCTTAATTCTACTCTGAAGTTTTTGTTTTCTACTTACCTCAACATTATCTTTTGTAATTTTAATCTTGCTAGATATTTTAGAACTTTCATTTTGAACTATTGGAGTACTAGCTTGTATTGGATGCACTGGGATATGTTTATTGGGACTCACTGAATAATCCTCAAATTTAGATGGAAGACGACAGATTCTCTTGGGGCGACAATCTGCTAAGCTGGTTTCTATTATTTTATTGTGTGGTTTTAATGGTGTTAATATCACAACAGCCTTTTTGTTTTGTGAATTACGATTTCGTTCATCATTAGCGTTATTTTCAGTTATGGAATCAGGTTTTTCATCCTCATTTCCATGAAGATTGGTCAAAATTTGATTCTCTACAAATCTGTCTGGAAGCTTTCGGTTTCGGCGTGGTCGTACGTTATGAACTTGCTCAGTTTTACTATCGGGACTCTTTATAACACATAAAGTTTTTCCTGTATTTCTGGAAACTGTAGCAGAAATAACAGTCTCATTATCATCTGATGCCGAATTCGTTTTATCGGCTAAAGCTTTTCTGGGAGCTTTCACACTTTTATGAACATTTTTTGACTTAGATTTAACGGAAATACACACATTTTCTTTTAATGGTACACTATTTTTAACTCTTCTGGTTTTAGGCGGCATGACGCGCAATAACAAGTTGATTTATCTTGATTTACAAGCTGATTTAACACGAATGTACTGTTGTCATTATTTTATCTGAACACTTTTAGTTAGAATACGAACGCTCTCTTTAGAATAATTATTTATTTGATTGAGGTGATAGGTGTAAGCCATGAGATAAAATTTGTTTTCACAACTTTCGCTCGTTTTTTGAGTTTGACATATGACAAAATAAAAATCCTCTAGATAATCTGTGACTGTGACAAAAGGTCAAAAATTTTTTTCTTCTTTGATCATGGACTCAGACAGATATTTTTTTGCCATTTTGGCAATAGATGTGGTGGTAAATTATCCTCATTTTAATATTAAAAGGCATATGAAAATTTGAATTTGAATTTTTAAAGTCAACAATAATTTTATTAAAGTAAAAGAAAATGGTTTTAATAGGATTTTTTATTGGATTTTACGTTAATTTTGTTATAAGTTATAAGCTATAAATTATTATGTAAAAATGTGTGAATACTCATTAAATATAACAATCTTTATTATAGTGTAGGGATTTAAAAGTTAAATAAACATGGAAATAAAGTAACGTTTTGTTATATTTTATGGATACAAAGCTCGGCCTTTGATCTAGTAAAAGTGACACGAGATAGGAATACCAGATTGGAAGACCAAAATATCTGGATAAAATTTGAAAATGTCGAGATTTAGGGTTATTGTTTTACTGAGTACACAAATTTGGATTTTTTGTTAGTATGAGAAAATAGCGATAAACAGTACACACTAAATTAAACTTCAAGGACAAACTACTACCAACTTAAATATATATATTAAAACAAAAAGAAAGTGGTATACGCAACAAATTAAACACAGATATTTTTACAATTAATACTAAAAACCTATATTATACACTAACAAATCAATTATTTCAAAGAAACTTACTTAAATATTATTACAACAAAGGAAAAAGAAATTGAAATAACTACATTCAAAATATTCTAATAAAATAGTTATAATTAAAAATAAAAACAAATTGTACAGCAATCGCAAATATTAGCTAAGTAGGTAATCTAAACGATTTACAAGGAACTTTCGAAGGAAAATCAAGATGTCTAAGGCAAGTTTTTCATTCAAATGATCCAAGAATAAATAAAGTTTAAATTTCAAATTCTAATCCGATTAAAATATTCCTTTATATTTGACATTCTAATGTTAAAGAGCATTGCACCAAGCTTTTATGTGAGTTCAACGCTCAGGTTCAACGTTTTGAGTTTTCGAACATGTGTCAAAATAAAATTTAATTTAAATCAAAAGCACTAAAGAGTATAATATCAACTTCGATGCAAATCACCCCTAAAAATAACTTTCTAGGATTCTGAATTAAATAAATTTCTTTCGTAATATTACTAAAATGAGCATTTTTTTTCTTCTGTCTCCTAACTTTCTTATTAAGTCTCTTTATCTTCATAAAGTGTTTTTGACATTTGTCTTTTAATTTCTTTATAATTTCAAATGAGTGTACCTGAAATAAAATAAAATAAGATATAAGTACAAAGTAATATTGAAGACAAGCGAGAGATATCTCCGACCCAATCGCAATTTAGTCGATAAGATGTTATAATTGAGATCATATTCGCAAATAATGATGATAATAGAAACTGAAGCTAGTCATACCGATAAATCTGGCGTAGCGGAGGTACTAGCGGCTAAATCTGGCACAGTGGAGGTGCTAGTGGCTAAAACTGGTGCAGTGGATACGCTAGTGACTAAATCTAGCGTACCAGATGTGCTAGGGGCTAAATCTATGCCACTCTTTAGGTCCAAGTTTTAGAAACCGTGTGGTTTGCATTTAGCCATGTTTCATCCAGGAACACCACTTTATCCCAATTATCAATATCTATCACTTTTGGAAAAAGATCAATGCGCGCAAAAGCAATGTGGGTACGTTCCATACTAATTTTTCTTTTGTTACTCTTTTTTTTTTGTTTTTAAGTATTGTTGATAAAGATGGTAGGCTCCCACTGAATCAGATTTATGCTGGAAATACTATGACTGCTACGGACATACGCCTAATCTTATCGTTCAAAACAGTCTACGAAAAACACACGACACGCTTGATAAGGTGAAATGCATAGTTCGCCCTTTTAAAACTAGCACCCGTGCCTTAGAAAGGTTATTGAAGACACAAACTCAAAAAAGTCCTGATGCAATACCGAAGCGTCTAAATCAAGAAATTCCAACAAGATGGAATTTGACAATTCACATGCTAGAGAGATTTGTGGAGCTCGAAAGCTACATTCATGCCACAATCGTCGTTTAAAAAAAGATCTTCCCATTATTTCAAACGAGGGGTGGATATAGTGTTAGCAGAGCTTTGCAAAGTGCTATAACCCTTCGACGAAGCCACTAAAGCGATGACTGGAGAAAACAATATTACGGCCAGCACAATAATAATTAAAAAACACCTGGTCATGGTGTTTAACAGGATCTTGTGACCAGCTCATGGGAGAAAGTTTTTCAGAGATTACAAAATCAGTAATTTCTGCACTACACTCTAGCTAAAAATGCGCTTCGAAGGGGTAGAGAAAAGCGGTACGTTTACAATCTGTACATTCTTGGACCTTTGTTATAAAATGAATGTTTTTTCGGATACACAAGAAGCTGCCAAAACAAAAAAAGTACAAGAAATTTTTGCAGCTATTATAAATAAGCGCTATTATTCTGACCAGCCTTCGGTGTCTCCTGCAGCAAAACCCGTCACCAAGGACAAATTTTCGTCATGGTCTATCCTCGACTCCATAGTAGGCAAGCAGCAACAGACTAGCAGTGGCACTCCTTTATCACGTGCAATAAGGGAAGTGGACGCTTACATAAAAGACGACATTTTAGCAGTCTTTAATGAACACGGGTATACCATCAGGGCTACCCGTTGACCTCGGTTTTAGCCACCTTACTGCTTCCTTCAGCTTGGTATCGTAAACAGTATTTATGGTGATACAGGTGGAGTCATATTGACTATCTGCGGCACGCACCGCATCAACATGGTCCAGTACAGGAACCTCGTCCTGATATACCGAACTAAAATATTTCGCAAAAGCGTCAGCCGCAGATTGCCCAACAACTTCGACACCACCGGAAGAATAAACGTTCATACGCTGCCTGTGATTCTTCCCATCCTTAACGTACTCCAAAAATTTGGCCGGATCGTCAATTATACTTTGTTGAGTCGGATGTAAGTGCTGCTTATATGCATTGTCAATCAAGTTTTTAACATGCCATCTATAGTATTTAAATAATTCCTTGTTTAACTCTTTACCTTCAGCCTTATACCGTTTCAAATGATAATATTTTTTACATATATTACATATAATATCAGCATGAAACCATTTTGCATATACGTACTTATAACTCGGCATGTAAGAGGATTTAGTTGGAACCGATACAATTATAAAGACGGTGATAGAATAACGCAACTGCGTCGTCAACGTCTGCAATCACAAACATTTCTGACCAACCTATACTATTTAATGTCATGTATAGGCCCAGAAAGTCTGTTTTACGCCAATTCCAGTTTGCAGCAACTCCCGGGCATTGAGCCAGCGTTGGAGAGGATAGCAACTGGACCAGCGCATCTCACTGAAACCTAAGCGTCACCTCCAGCCGGGCGTGATGTTAATCAATTGGTACTAAGGGTTCTGAACTCTCGGACACTAAGACCAGCTCCAGGTTAAAATTGCTCAACACGAGATCTAACATACCATCATATTTGTTATACACAATATTATGTCGCTGAAGCTCACAAGAGTCACAAAAAGAATTAAAATTATCCTTAACTTTAACACTACAAGAGTTCAAATTAAAATCCCCGATTATTAAGACATTAAGAGAGTAATATGCAATGATAGCATTTTCAATTCACGTCAATGCGTTGAGATATAGATTATCACTACATTTTGGAGGCAAATAAACGACACAAGATAAAAACTTTCTAACACTTTTTCCAACAATAATGGTGAAAATCAGTTCCATATCAGACGTATAGGCTTCTACATTAGTTACTTGTTGCACCGTATAGCAGTTTCGTACAGCAAGGAGCACTCCTCCCCACCCGACGTCTCCTGTGCGGTCTTTACGTACGACTATATACTCCGAAGTAAATAATTCGCCATCAAATACGCAACTGTTTAAAAAGGTTTCAGTCAAGGCTATAACATCAAAGTTGTCATTGAGTCACATTATTCCTAAAAGTATCCGATTTTGTACGTAGACCTCTAACGTTTTGATAACAAAAATATAGGTTACGCACTTTCTTTCTTGGCACGAAGGTTCTGCCGTCACGGTTTTATACAGATGTCTTCAGCCCAATTATTTGGTGACATAACACTCTCGCTAATCCTCGACGGGACTCCAAGCTTGAACGATGAGTAACGACCCCTTGGTTTCAGTTCTTCCACTGTGCAATCATTTTTCCACTAATAGAGTAGAGATGAGCACGCACCTCCTCTACTGTGGTACCCTCTTAAACATAATAAAGATGCAAGTACCTCCATCTCTCAGATGCACGCAGTTTTGTCACACCCTGCGCTGCAGTACCGCGAAGTACGCCAGGCAGCGATGCACGTCCAGATTTACGTCTCACCTGTATCCACTCTTCCGAATCTTTTTGCTCCACGCCATCCCGGGGAGCAACAGTTGTCTCATGGCTTACACTCAAAATTGAAGTGTTGGAATCAGAGATTAAAGTTGAAACTGGCGATAAAGAAGAGATGGGTGTGTGTAGTTTTGCAGGTGGATTAGGTTTGCCCGAAGCTCCCTTATTTTTCTCCTGTGGGCCAGATTTTACTTTCGGCTTAGTCTTCCTGTTATCTAGGTTTGATGGGTGCTGTACCGCCACTGCATAGCCCTGCGTTGATACATTATTGTTTTTGTCCATTTTTAGGATTCTTTCTTCTAATTTGTCAATCTTATATGTTAAATTGCAAATTTTTCCAAATAGCAAAGTCTTGAATTCATTAAATTTCTCGTTGAGTAGTGCACCAATTTTCATGGTAAGGCGCGATTCGAAATCGTCCTGCATTTGCTTTATTTCCTGTACTACCGGGGCCATGTTTTGGGCACAGTGGTCACTCTTCATCGCCACTAATTGCGCAGGACGTTTTCCGTTTCGGAACGTGACATTATCTGGTGTATGCATCGATACATTCAAACAATCACCAACGACAGTCGTGTCATGGCTCAACTGCTGGCGCACTGGTGTATGTGAATTATCAAGCTTAGGTATTTTGCTACGTCATTCGAAACATATCCACATCTTTTTAAATTCTGAATTCTGATGTCATGGTTGCAAATAATTCCACATTAAAAATAGCACACATAATTTCTAAATATTGCTTATTTTTTGCCCACCTCATGAATGCGTTGTCCTCCATAATAACACCGCTGCATCCTGCGCCGCTTACTTGGCGTGACGTCATCTCGAACACTACACAGCTTGATGCACTCAACGGCGGCCGGCCAGCAACGGGTATCGGTGACTTACAGCAGCGAGTGCGCTGTGGGTTGTCGTAGATCAGTACGTAACGGCCATAAACAATTTTTTGAAATGTATTTGCTTATAACTTAAATGTAACAATGCGAAATTAAAAACTGATTTCACTACTAGATAACCTAGATCAAAAACTTTAAGATAATTACAAAATAGACACTAGTAATTTACTTTCTACTACAACGCACTTATTTATATGTGGAGCAAACTGTCACAAATGTTAACTGCAAAGACGCTCAAACGGTATAATGAATGTAGTGTATGCATTTTAAACCAAAAAGATTCCCTACAGAAGATCTTTATGCCATAAGTGACCTAATAAATGAACTTCAAATACTTTAAAATCTCTTCTGTCGTCGGGCTATGAACTCACCCTATTATGTCCGTAACGCCAACCTCCACCGAGACTTAGAGCTCTCGACAATTCAACAGTTCCTCAAATCACTCTCTGAGAGATTCTTCAAAGCCTCAGAGTTCCACTCAAATCGACTCATCCGCGAAGCAGCTGCCTATGCAGCCCCTCCTCAAATCGTTAAGACAATCCCAAAAGATAGTGCTTAGTGGGTAAAAGTCTCCACATAACCACGCAGCCGGCTGCGTGGTATGCTATGAGCATTCACCACCTCCCTCCCACGTTACCGGAGGGTTGCCCTTATATGCTTCGGGCGCGAAAAAAGCCATAAGTAATGTGCTTACTGTCAGGAAACCATACATCATATATTTAATTCTAAGACTGCATAAAGGTATAATGTTTAACCGTTGTATTGTAGCCAAAAGAAGGAAAAACGTAGTGGCTACAGCTGTCGCTGTTAAAACTGTTTTAGCTGGGAGGCATTATTTAAAACGATCAGTGACTCTATACAACGCCATTAATAAAAGCATAAAAATTCATCACCTTAATTACGATAATTGCAAATAAGCTCTAACGAAATAGCTATGATTATACTGAGGCTCTTTTAAGCAATATGAAATAATATAATTTATTTATAACACACACACACACACACACACAAACCCGCGCGCGCGTACTTATTATGCCTTTGGCATGCATATTATTAGTTTTTTATTTTCATTTTATAGTTAATTATTATGTAACGATCACGCAAATAGTAATGTAAGTGTTATGGAGGAGTAGAGTAAAGTACGCTTTTAAAAAGTTGGTCCGTGATCATTTATTAAAGACAACGCATTTTACATGACTCATCTATTTAATATGTATTGCCAAACAGACGTACCGTGTAGTGGCGGTTGAGAATATCCACTACCCCATATCTTCCCGTGGGTGTCGTAAGAGGCGACAGAGGGACACAGAAAGGAGATGGGTAGCAGCATCTTCCTAATAACATCAATAACATAATAAAAAGTGCGGTTGCCAACCCGCTCGCCAAGCGTGGCAACTATGGCAAATATCCCCCCATGAGCAACGACGCAAACAAACGGCCCCCAGTCCCCGGCGGCCCCGCTATTCCTGGCTACGGTGGCGACCATGGTGTAACGGCGGGGCAGGGGGTGCTAAGAATCTCCGGTGGAGGTGCGTTTGCCACCTACGACGACTCAACCTGGCAACGTATAACGCACGCACCCTGAGGACTGACGAGAAGATACTGGAGCTGGAAGAAGAGGTAGACAAGTTGCGTTGGCATATTATTGGATTATCTGAGGTCCGAAGAGAGGGGAAGGACACGGTAATCCTCGAGTCCGGCAACTTGTTCTATCACCGGGAGGGCGACCATCTCTCCCAAGGAGTTGTCGGATTTATCGTCCACAAGTCTCTCGTCAACAACGTTGTAAAGATTGGGAGTGTGTCGACGAGGGTCGCGTACCTGATATTCAGAATCACCAAACGGTATTCGCTGAAGGTCATACAGGTCTACGCACCAACCTCGGCACATCCCGATGAGGAGGTGGAGGTAATGTATGAGGATATTTCTAGAGCCATGCATTCCTCCAAAACCCACTACACGGTGTTGATGGGAGACTAGGCACAAGAGAAGGCGGTGAGCTGAAGTTAGTGAAATTTGGAGTAGGGCAACCCGACACTATTCCTATGATATCCCGGACGTCAGTCTGAGCGAGATTAGAATGGCTCTCCAGAACCTTAAAAACGGCAGGGCCCCAGGCGAAGATGGAATTACAGCGGAGCTTCTGAAAGCGGGTTAAACACCGGTACTTGAAGTCCTTCAGAAGCTCTTCAATTCCGTCGTCCATGGTGGCACTACTCCGGAGGCGTGGAGCAGAAGTGCAGTGGTCTTGTTCTTTAAGAAAGGCGACAACATTCTCTTGAAGAACTACAGACCGATTTCCCTTCTGAGCCTCGTCTACGTGCTGGTTTCAAGAGTCATTACGAATCGTCTCGCACGCAGACTCGAGGACTTCCAGCCTCCCGAACAAGCCGGTTTCCGAAAAGGCTTCAGTACCATAGACCACATACATACCTTGCGGCAGATTGTACAGAAGACCGAAGAGTACAATCTGCCACTTTGCCTGGCGTATGTGGACTATGAGAAAGCCTTTGATTCCGTCGAAATTTGGGCGGTGCTACAGTCCTTTCAGCGGTGCCAAGTTGACTGTCGGTATATCGAAGTGCTGAAGTGTTTGTACAGTAGAGCTACGATGGCTATCCGAGTACAGAACCAGAGTTCGAAACCTATCCAACTACAGAGAGGTGTAAGACAGGGTAACGTTATATCCCAGAAACTCTTCACCGCTGCGTTGGAAGACGTTTTCAAGCTACTGGACTGGAAAGGATACGGTATTAACATCAATGACGAGTACATCGCTCACCTTCGATTTGCCGACGATATAGTCCTTATGGCAGAATCGCTGGAGGACCTTAGCACTATGCTCAATGAACTCAATAGTGTCTCCCAACGTATAGGTCTTAAGATGAACATGGACAAAACAAAGATCATGTTTAATGTCCATGTCACACCCATGCCGGTAGTTGTTGGGAGCACTATGCTCGAAGTTGTTGACAAGTACGTTTACCTGGGACAAATAGTCCGACTAACTTCGACCGAGAGGTCAATCGACGGATTCAACTCGGCTGGGCAGCGTTCGGGAAATTACGACATATCTTTTCGTCAGGTATACCTCAATCTCTAAAAACTAGATTGTACAACCAGTGCGTGTTGCCAGTGATGACTTACGGATCTGAGACGTGGTCCTTCACTGCTGGCCGTATGAGGACGTTCAAGGTCGCTCAGCGAGCAATGGAGAGGGCTATGCTTGGAGTTTCTCTGCGTGATAAACTCAGAAATGAGGTTATCCGCAGTAAAACCAGAGTGACCGATATAGCCCAACGGATTAGAAAGCTGAAGTGGCAATGGGCCGGCCATATAGCTCGAAGAACCGATAACCGATGGGGAAGAAAGGTTCTCGAGTGGCAGCCTCGTACCAGTAGGCGTAGTGTAGGGCGACCCCCCACTAGATGGAGTGACGACCTGGTAAGACATGCAGGAAGTCAATGGATGCAGGTGGCTCAGGACCGTGCTTTGTGGCGTTACTTGGGGAGGCAGCAGCGGACTTGTAAAGGGATGTAATGATGATGATGATGAACAGACGTATATATTCATAGTCATTTGTATAATATAATAAAATATATATAATATAATTATGTGTGTATTTAAATATGTATACTTGTACGCATATCCATTTATTTATATATTTGTATATATGTAAGGATAGATCATATACGTATAGTTTATTTATTAGTAGTTTGTATATATTATGTAGTTAATTATCATTTGTATTGTGTTCTCTTATTCTATATTTCCAAACCTACGTCAAATTCTCACCACTCCATGGGTTGACTGGTAGAGAATGCCTCAAAGCATTAATAAGTCCGCCCTTTGTATTCTTTTGTTTAAGGATGCAATAAAGAATAAAATAAATAATAAATAGACTCTCATAACACAAGTTTAATACTTAAAAGGAGACCCGGTTGTAATTTATGTATAATCATTTACTGAATAAACTATTTTTATTTATTATTATTATTAAACAAAAAATAGAAAAATTTACTCATTTTTGTAATACTTTATTATAAAACCTAAATATAAAATAAAAACCTGTTCGGCAGACAAACCCGAATGGGTTATTAACTTATCGAAAGATAAAGTTGTGGCGTACATCACTACATTGCAGTACTTTCGGTTGCAGTGATACCAGTTAATTTTACAAAAATTGCATACATTTGCTACGAAGTGGCAAGTTTTAATTTGATTTATTTGGCCTTTATATTGTATAATATTTTGATAAAGACTAGTAATTTATTATATTAAGTTATTTAATATGATATTAAGTAAGTGACTGCCACGTTGGTCCAGTGGTTGTAGTAGTGCGACTGCTGATCATGAGGTCCTGGGTTCGAATCCCGGGTCGGGTCAAAAAATCAATTATAGAGGTTTTCCGTCAAGAAATTATTAGTAGTTGCCCGGAGTCAGGAAGTTGGCAGTGTCTCACCCCCGTGCCTCATAAAGCACGTAAAGCCGTTGGTCCTGCACCTGATCTCTCTCCGGTCATGTCGGTTTACCGTCCCATCGAATTATGAGAGTGAGGGAATAGAGAGTGCACCTGTGCTTGCGCATACACTTGGACACTATAATCCTGTCCTGCGCCGATGGCTAATCTCCATTGAGGCAGGCCGCCGTGGCCGCAATTCGGTCTGGAGGACATTATTATGATATTAATTTTTTTTTATGTTATATTATAATATATTCAGAATCGTGTTGGGATTGATCTGAATATTTTGTTTTTACAATAATATTAAGTTAAAAGTATTCACAGAGGAAAAGTCACGTGGTCCTTTTGTAGATTTGACGGTTTTAATTGTTTTTTTTGCATGAAAATACACCGCAACTCAGCATTTTTGTCGTAGTTCAATTGACTGGCATGATCACTTGCGTAATGGCACACGACGCGGAGCAACTAGATTTATATAACGGCATTTTATATAACTACATTTGCTGCGAGGTGGCAAGTTTCGATTCGAATTATTTGGCCTTTACTTTGTACAATATTTTGATAAAGACTAGTTATCGATTATATTAGATTATAATATATTCAGAATCGTGTTACCAACATTGAATATTTAAATTATTTGACAAAATCCACTACACATCTTAATGTTATAATTATTATTCATCACACACTGATTTAATTGATACGAAATAAATTTTCGTAATATAATTATTTTCGGTAGTAAATTATACTTATTATAGCGGTGTTCTATAGAACGAAAAAACACAAACACATTCTTTTGAATAGAACAAACGTTTTATTGTCTTAAATTGACAACAGTTAAAGGAAAATGTTACAAAATAGCTTCCATTATAATTAACTTTCTAGGTTTCTTATATTTACGCGAACACTACACATTGATTAAAACTACTTTTACCGATTTTATCGCGTTTAATTTTAATTATTTTTATTTCTAATTCCCGACGTTTCGGGTGCTTTCCAGCACCAATGGTCACGGGCGTAGACAGAGAAACCTATAGACAAATTGACGCCTCCTTTCGCATTCGCACACGAAAAAGATAGATTTATGCATACGTCTTGCATAGAAATGAGCCAGTGCGGTAAGATTGTTTGTTCGTTTCTCCGTGCCGGTTTTTTATTTAGCAAACTACACTTTGCTAAACAACTTGACAGTCCGTAGCGATCTAAGAAGTTTACAAATAGGTTTAAGTGAGAGAAAAAAAGTATTTTGTGAGCTTGAGATTGGTGAATCTTGTTCATTTCAGTTCTTAGAACAATTAAATTTTTTATCTAAACATGTTTCAAAGTCATAAAGGTTATTCTATAACCTAAAACTACGTTATCTTCCTTTCTCACTCGAGGTCACGCTAATCATTAGTCTATAGTTCATAAAAGATAGCTTGATCTCTGCGACAGCTGTCAGTAAAATCACGCCTATGAAGTCCTGAATTTCTTAGTAGTACAGACAGTACCTGTCAATGTCATACTTTATGGGCATGCCGACCTAATTATTGCATGCCCATGCAAGTCAGGTTTCTCTGTCTACGGTCACGGGGGACTGAAGTGACTGACGTCCCGATGTCATTGTTAAATCCGGAGTACCTTCAGCTTTTTTAACCATAAACAACAATTAAAAAGCTGAAGGTACTCCGGGTTTAACATTGACAATGGGACAGAGTACTTTCTAATATACTGAATCTTGGCCGTGGGTGCTGGAAAGCACCCGAAACGTCGGGAATTAAAAATAAAAATAATTAAAATTAAACGCGATAAAATCCGTAAAAGTAGTTTTAATTAGCTTTCTAGGCTTAATAATAATTATGAGAAAATTATGGTTGCTTGCAAGTTCCAACATTTTGTATTATATTATCACAGACTATTATGATGCTTACGCATCATAGACAGAAAAACCTATAGACCGATTACTAGCGTGGCCTCTAGTGAGAAAGGACGATAACGTAGACAGATAAATTCTCTGTCTACGGTTTTAGGTTATACAATAATCTTTATGACTTTTAAACATATTCAGATAAAACTTAAACCTATTTTTATATAGTTCTGTAACGATATTTTAAAATAACAATTGAATTTTATACGTAATACCAGATAAAATGCACTATACTGACGAGTGAACTGATATACCGGAGAGTTTACGTTCACTATCACTTTTACATCCTAAGACACTACATCTAACCATTTTTAAAGCTTTAAATTGTTCTAAGAACTAAATTGAACAAGATTCACCAATCTTAAACTCACAAAACACCTTTTTTCTCACTTAAACCAACTTGTAAACTCCTTAAATCGCTACGAACTGTCAAAGTTGTTTAGCAAAGTGTGATTTGCTAAACAAAAAAACCAGCACGGAGAAAGGAACAAACAATAACACCGCTCTGTCTCATTTCTATGCGAGACGTATGCATAAATCTATCTTGTTCGTGTGCGAATGTGAAAGAAGGTGTCAATTTGTCTATAGGTTTCTCTGTCTACGTTACGCATTATATTACTTTTGTGTAACTCGTAGACAGAGAAGTGTAACTACGCATACTACTACGCAGAATAATCATAGACCAGAGTGTATCTATGGAAGTTACAAACCCGCGATTTATTGTCTCCACCTACAGCGCCCTCTAGAGCATACTTTATATGACGTTATCAATATTTCGACTCGGCACACGAATGTACCTACCAGTCCGAGTAATAAAAGATCGAGGAGGTATGCGCGCTACATTATTTTAAAATCGCTAATTTTTCACTTCATGAACTATGCCGGCAACACTTGGTATTTTACGAATATATACGGAAAATACGTTTTTTAACGATAATATTATGTTAAAAGTATTCACAGATGAAAATTGACGTTGTCTTTTCGAAAATTTGACGGTTTTAATGGCTTTTTGCAAGAAAATACTCTATATAGCCCAATTGACTGACACGATTACTTGTGTAATGGCGCACGAAGCGGAGCAACTAGTTTTATATATCGGCTATGGGTCGGACTCTCGTACCTTTTACATAGGGGTATGCCTTGTGATGCCGTCTCCTTTAGTTCAATACTCAAAGGATGGAGCCATTTTTTTTTAAATAAGCAGAATAAAATGCACATCATACTAGGCTGTATGGTCTATGTCCTTTGCCTGCATTAATTGGTACATCGTAGCAACAATAACTATTTGGATTCCGAATACCGTTAAAATTTCGAACCGAACGTTTGTAAAAATGCGCTGACGTACTGTTACGTTTGTTCGTTTGTTTTTATTCTTCGCGTTAAAATAAGTTAAATTTAAATGCTTCCTTTTTATTGTTACTAGGAAACTGACTTCATGAAACATTTAAAATATTTGGTTTTATATAAAATTGTATGTACCAATAACGACTGAAGAAAAGTATTTTTACCGACCTGGACTAAGTAAATTTAAGAAAAATGGACGGCGAGAACAATAAATGTGCCTTGGATACTGTGCAAGTTGCTTTACGGATTAGGCCTCTTATGCAGCAAGAAATAGAACGAGGATGTGATGAGTGTATTGAAGTTGTACCAGGGGAGCCACAAGTTCAAATTAAGGACCTAGCTTTCACATACAATTATGTATTCCCACAACATATTACACAACAGGAGTTTTATGATACTTCAGTTAGAGGTCTCATAGGAAAATTATTTCAAGGTAAATTGCACAGAATTTCGTGAATAACAATATGGAAAGTAATTTTTTATTAATTGAATAAGATTATGAATTTTAATTTAAATATTAATGAATTAAATTTATTTGATTATTATGATTAAGACTCTTCTTTGCAGGGTACAATGTCACAATACTTGCCTATGGACAAACTGGTTCAGGAAAAACATACACTATGGGTACTAATTACTCAGGATCTGATGGGGACTCCTCAAAGTTAGGTAAGTTTTGTAAATATTTAAACTAAAATAAATACAAGACAGTTTATTATGGTAATTTAGCCTAATATAATTTTAAGTAATTGGAGCGTGGCATAGATACTGGGGTGAGAGGCCCCCAGGGGCCTTGCTAATGACATTTGAAAAAAATATATAATGTCCTAGTTGTATAAAGAATTATCAACTTTTAACTTTCTTGGCCCATGACCTCGAAAGACTCGAAATGAAATTACAATAATTTCTCCCACCTCCAGAACATAAATATAACATTTTTGAAATAAAATTGTCTACTTCGTTTTATTTTCTTTTATAGAATAGGGGCAAATGAGCTTGCGGCTCACCTGATGGTCAGTGTTGATTGCTGCCCATTAACTAATACAACACCAGAGGAATTCCAGGAAGAAAACTCATACAAAAATGCACAGTAGGAGACTGCCAAACATGCTAATGATGTGGATGGTAACATGAGTTTTGTTGCAATGTGTATTGGTAAAATTTTGCAGCTGGAATTAATCCGAAGAATTCCTCATAGCACTCTCTGTAATAAGTGCGATATAAAATGCAAAAGGATACAAAATCTTTTAACAGTGTCAGTGAGTCAAGCCCATCAAAGAGAATGTGGTCATTGACAACTTGAGGTGCTTTGCACTGGATACACTCAAGTAGAGGGAGCTGGCTTTAGCAAGCCCCTGCCCAGAGATATGAACAATATCCCTTGTGAGGCCGAACTTGCGCCTTGTAAAATTGCAAGCAGTGTGCCGGCATGAAATCCTGATCTGCTCCACAGAGCATGCTTAGATTTTTAGAGGTCAATTTAGCCTGGCCTTCTAAGTGACCATGAAACAGCATTTTTTTTCTATATGTTGGTGCCGAGGATTCCTATGCTAACTGAGGCAGCAAGGAGATTGCTTTAAAACTGAGGACATACAACAAAGGGGTTCGTTTTAGCAGTAAATATGCAAGCTTGTGTCTTCTAGGGATTGAACTGGCCTGGATTTAATTGACCCTAATCTGACTATGTTCAACAAAGACTCGACTTCATACACAAGTTAAATCCAGTGCTTCGCAACATTTTCCAAAGCATCACCAGTGGTTTCCTTCACATAATGGATATTACCAGTTTGCAACATATCATTGATATGCAGAAGAAACATTGTTGGTGATAGCACACAGCCTTGTGGAACACCAGCGTTAATTGTAATCAGAGCATGCACTGTCTTCTAGATCCTTGATGCTCCTATCAGCAAGGAAACTGGTGATCCAATTGCACAATTTATTGTGAAATAGAAGCTCTTTGTGCCAGACCCGATCGAAGGCCTTCCCTATGTATAAATTAACAGCCAATGCCTCTCTTGGACTCTACTTCCTTCGTCCAGATCAGGTAGACCAGAAGATCACCAGCTGATCATCCATGACGAAAACCATATTGGCGGTCACTAATCAGCTGATGACCCTCACAGTACCTCATCTGGTAGTTTGTAATGGACTCCATTATTTTGGAGAAAAGGAAGTGATGGCGATAGGCCTGTAGTTGGACGGGTCTGAGCAATCGCCTTTTTGGGGATCGGGTGGGCCAAAGCTGTCTTTGGTACAAAGATGAATTCGGTACTATGCCTTGGGAGTAGAAGTACCGGAAAAGACACGTTAAAACCAGTGCTAACTCTGAAGCACACATCTTCAGCACTAGAGTGATCGGTGAGAAGTCTTTTATATTTCTAGCATCTATTTCTATGACTGCTGAATGATACCCACTTGGGGTTTTTTTTTTGTTGTGAGGGTGCCTTACTCAAAAGATTTAGGGTCTTGAGTTTAATGGCAGCTAAAATGGCTTCATGTTGTATGTGTTCGTGAAGCAGGGTTAGCTCCTAATCATAGCCTAGCCTCTAAGGCTACGGTTGGTGTAGTCCTTATGCAGCCTGTGGCAATCGTACATGCAAGGCTCTGGTAACACTGAAGCTTCTTTATTGTGATGGCTTCATTTGTTTTGGTCCACCATACCAGAGCGTCGTATGTGATCATGGGCCGAATTACAGTTTTATACCACCACAGTATAATAATTCTTGGCGTCAGACCCCATCGTTTGCCAATCATATTTCTGCATTGTCAGAAAGTTATTAAACTTGTTGATTTTGTTTTTTATGTGTTTATTTCAGTTGAGTTTACTGTCCGATGTAAGACCTAAATATTTTATTTCAGAGGATAGCCGGAGTTTTGTGCTGAAAAGACTTCGGAGATGATAGTTATTCAGCATTCATTTTTGTGTGAAAATTACTAGTCATTTTATTTAAGTTAAGGCTTAGGTGATATTCCCTGCACCATCTCTCCATTATACGGAGAGCCGCTTGGGTCCGGACGCACACCATGCTCACTGTTTTTTCAGAGACCAGTATTGTCAGATCGTCTGCATAACACCTTGTAAAAAAGTGGTTGGCATTTAATTAGCTGATGAGTTTGTTAATGACCATATTCCACAGAAAACGTAAAAGAATCCTGTGGGCAGCCCCTCCTTATTTGGACTTCTTGGGATTTACCAGCAATCTTTATTGTTCGTAAACTGAGCATGTAATGCATACAATCCAGTCAATCAGTGCTGCTTCGACTAGATTCCGATTCGCTTGTTCACAGGCTTCTATGTTACCACAGAATTTGGGCCTTTTTGTCGAACATCGATACCTGATACATTTTTTGTACTCAGACTTAGCTTTCTTGTATAGCTAGTCTTCAATCATCGGGTATTCGTTTATTTAGGACTTTTCTTACCTTTTTGCGTTTCCGATCTAGTTCTTTACCCCCACCATGGTTTCTTTCCTTCAGGCTTTCCCTCAGCAAAGGGAAGTTCGGTGATCGCTACCAAGCTACTTCTAATTTGTCTTGTGTTGTTAATTGTAAACATGATGGTAAGCTATTATTGGGAAAAAAATAGTCCCGCTGGGTTTCTTGCTGGTTCTTCCCAGGACAGAGGTTTTTTTTGCGAACCAGTGGTAAATTAAAAAAGTGACTTTCAATAAGTATTGTTATAATCTACATTGAATAAAAAAGTTTCTGTTTCTGTTTGCTGAGGGAAAGCAACATTTAGTAGGTATCTTTGACCTCGTCACTTCGCAAAGTCACAGGCTATGGCAAAGTATACATTTTGTAACAAAAAAAAAATATTTTTCAAATTGGTTCAGGTGTCTTTGAGTAATCGGTGAACATACATAAACAAAAGATTCCGACGAATTGACAACCTCCTCCTTTTTTGAAGTCGGTTGAAAATAAGGTATAGAGTAGACATGGGACGAGTTCTCGGTTTGGATTCGGTACTCGGTGGGTTCGGCCGAGCACTGAGTATTAAAGGCCGAGTACTCGGTACTCGGCCTTAATTATATTCCACAGAAAAAAAGACAGTTTTTATCATTATTATTATATTAGACATATTAAAAGTTAGAGACATGAGGAACAGCAGAAACATTGAAAACATACATTAGAATCTTTAATAGAAATTATTATTACTAATACTTAGAGTATTTAAGAGAGGATGATTGTGATGCAAAAACACTAGGTTTCTCGCCCTATTTGGGTCTAGTTTGCTCCTTTTTGCTTTATATGCTAAGCCCACCTCTAAAAAAAGGTGTTCACTGTAAACTGAAATGGCGGGTGTAAATAAGTATTGAGCAGCAACTTTTTTTAAAGCCGAGTACTCTGCCCAATCTAGGCCAGGAGTACTCGGTGGCCGAATAATCGGCGAATCACTACTTGTTCCATGTCTAGTATACAGCTATCGCAAATATAAACAAAAATACTACCTTATTAACAAAACTAATGTTATTTGTGTGTGTGTGTGTGTGTGTCAATGATTCTATTTCGTTATAACTTGTCTTTAACCATTCAGTGATGTCGTCAGCTACTTCCTTCGTTATGTGACCTGAACGCGTACACGTTAAGGCCACACCCAAATCTGCTTTAGCAGCGGAATCATAGACTTAGACATGAAGCCTTTGGTTGCTGTTCGAGTCGCTGTTTTTTGTGGTGGACCCTTCAGCAACCTTTTTGCCGCTCTTGTCTTCTACCAGGACGCTTGGCCGCTCACTACTTTCTGGCGGATATCTTAGAGCTAGTCCCTGCAGCCGCGCCTTCCACTTGCGCTGGATTGTTATCCTTCTCAATTTCAGCGCGGCTACTGGTTCCAGCCCCAAGCACTGCAGTCACAGTCGCTTGCCCAGCCTCCTTGGTGTTGCTCTTAGAAGCAGCCAGCGCGGCAATTCTCTACGGCCCTTTTCTCGCAGTTTCCTATTCTTTTTCTTGGTCTTTATTACACTGCCTGCTAGAATAGACCCACTTTATGGTCTGTCGGGTCGGTAAGTCATCTTTTTGGGTGCTTTGCGCTTCCCTTTACGGCTCACCACTTGCCAGGCAGCATAGAATAGGTCGTCTGTTCTCTGGGGCTCCGCAGGAGTTTTGATACTGGCCGACTGTTGCTCCTTTCTCGCGTCAAGCTCCTCAGGTTTTGAACTGGTTTTGGTAACATCCATCGCGGAAATTACCTTTGGTACCCCACCTATGGTGTAGTCCGTGGAACCGGCGGTTTAGTGGCGGTTCCTCCTTGTTCATTGGTAAACATCTCAGACCCCTCCACCTTTTTTTTAATGGACCTTAAATTGTCCATATTATTTACGTGTTTGAAATTCGTCCTCCCGACTTCCCACTCTCCAAGTAGCTCGCATCTTTGGGAATTTACTTTAGAACAAAAAGAATTTCAGGCGTTAGGATTACCAGGGGAATATAAGGACGTAAAATTGGCTCACAGCGCGACATCGGGAGCTCGATTCAGCTGGCATATATTCCGGGAGGCAGCGTCATTATTTTTGCGATTATTCCTAAAACGCTGATTCTTTGTTATTTTGAGATCGTACGTAAACAGAATGTCAGTCTACCGCACCAATGTTGTTGCAAACATTTATTACAATTTTTGAAACCTGTACATAAATAATACGTAAATGTATTATACCTACAAGACTGAAACTGCTTACAGTGACCAAGGATACCTAAATATACAGGATAATGACATTTATTACAATTTTTGAAACCTGTAAATAAATAATACGTAAATGTATTATACCTACAGGACTGAAGCTGCTTACAGTGACCAAGGATACCTAAATATACAGGATAATGACATTTATTACAATTTTTGAAACCTGTACATAAATAATACGTAAATGTATTATACCTACAAGACTGAAGCTGCTTACAGTGACCAAGGATACCTAAATATGCAGGATAATGACATTTATTACAATTTTTGAAACATGTAAATAAATAATACGTAAATGTATTATACCTACAAGACTGAATCTGCTTATAGTGACCAAGGATACCTAAATATACAGGATAATGACATTTATTACAATTTTTGAAACATGTAAATAAATAATACGTAAATGTATTATACCTACAAGACTGAAGCTGCTAACAGTGACCAAGGATACCTAAATATACAGGATAATGACATTTATTACAATTTTTGAAACCTGTAAATAAATAATACGTAAATGTATTATACCTACAAGACTGAAGCTGCTTACAGTGACCAAGGATACCTAAATATGCAGGATAATGACATTTATTACAATTTTTGAAACCTGTAAATAAATAATACGTAAACGTATTATACCTACAAGACTGAAGCTGCTTACAGTGACCAAGGATACCTAAATATACAGGATAATGATAGTCTACCACCTCGGAAGCGTTGATACACATGATAGTCCACCAGATACACCTACTCTCCAGTGGAACCATCCCTCTTTTTTATCTGGGCTGGGTACCGGCTGCACCAAAATGCACAGATAGAGTTCTATTTAATTCAGTACATGAATAGCTCATAGTTGAAATTTTTATTGCATTGGTGGATATTAATTTTCAAGCCAAGTGAGAGTTGACTGTTATTGTATTTAGTGAAACATATGTAGTTAAATGTTACAGCCTATATATGTTGGTCAATCAGCACTTAAATTTGCAATTAACAATTTCATTTCATTGGTGCCGGCGGGGATCCAACCAGCGCTAACCATTTGAGCTACCACTACTTATATGTTGTTACTTTTTTGCAAGATGTGCAATTGTTTTGTGCAATTGCAATTTGCAGTGTTAAAAGATAATCAGTCAAGAAGCAATCCTGCCTAAGCCCACTTCAGTCTGCACTTTTAAATGATCCCAGCTTTTGGCCGAAAAATACAACACTCAATTCCTTGTGACTTAACTGTACAAAAGTTACAATTGATTGGGAAAGTCCAATCTTTGGTGAGAGGTAATCTTTTATAGATAGCATTTTGGAAACTGTAAACTACTAGAGGATGCAGTGCATTGCAGGTGGAGGCGAGGGAGAAGTTGAAAAGCATTACTTTTAAGACTTTTTTAAAGACAGTGGTTTAAATTGACATTTGTAAATTGTATTTTCAGGCAGTAAGAAATTACTGAGTGCTTGCTTACTTTTGTAATTGTCATATGTTGGAGGCTTTGTTGTAATCACTATGATTGGTGACTTGTGATGTACAATTTATAAGATTTGGAGGATTTAAAGAGCCATATACAGTATATACAGTGGCGAAGCTGGAGCTCCAAGCTAGGGCAAGCCCAAGATATAAATTGATAAAAATATAGATTGTTGTTTTTAGCAGTTATATAAAAATACACCACTCTTGATATGTCTCCACGCTTCAGTTTTATATTCAGTGCTGTCAAGGACGTGTTTAACAAAGCACACAGAAGGCATACCACTGCTAGATAGATTGTATTACATATCAGCAATTGCATAGCTTCGGTGGCTTTGAAGAAAGCCGTTTGGGTTTGTTTAAGCGAAAGAAAAAATATGTACATCCAATACAATACATGAACAAAGTACAAACAAACTATGTACAAAATTAAAAAAAAAAAAAAAAATTATTTACATTCTAATGGATAAGAGATAAGTGGAATCGTCTCGCTTTCTTATGGAAAGATTTAATTACATCCACTTAAAATGTTGGTGAATGTTTTAATTGTACTAATAACTGTTTTTTTAATTGCGATAATTGATAGGTAAGTCTGAAATACACTCTTAACCTTGTGTATTATCTCAACAAAGTTTAAAGATTTCCTCTCCGATTAGCACTTTAACACACTTCAATTCATCACAAGGAACACTATTATCCTCCATTTTCATTAAAAATCTTTAAAAAAGCATAAATTTTAAACTCGTAATATTAAATCGATTAAGATAAGCACACAGAGTAAATAAACATTGAAACGTGAAATGAACTTGCAAACGTATTGCCCGCGCGCCTCCGCTTTTAACAAATTTATTCCCAAAAGCCTGGCTTTAAATCTCCATACTAATTGCTATATATACAATCGTAGTTATATTTCATTATAGAATATTTTGCCATAAGTTAGAAAGAGAGCGATCGTCTTCTCGAAAGCCCCGTAAAAAGCCCACGCGAGCAAGGGAGAAAACTAATCGCTCTATTAAAACTCATTTTTTATGACGGCAGCAGTATCGCTAAGGCAATACGAGGTCATCGGTCGACATGTGTCGAACAGTGGAGTGCGCGGGAAATTTGAAATAGTTTGAAACATTTCAACAAGTTATTTTATTAGTTGATATTATTGATTGATTCAGTTTTAATAAGGCAAGCCCGGCTTTTCGGCTTTCATAGAAGCTTCGCCACTGTATATATACAGCTTACTTCTTAAGGATGATAACATAATGAGCTCTATTAACACCTTATCATCAACTGAAATTGTGAGCTTACTTAAAAAAATGATTTCAAATAATTCCAGGTGTGATACCACAGGCTGTGGCTGACATATTTGATTTTGTAGAAGCTCATGAAGATAAATTTATTTTCAAAGTAGCTGTTTCTTTCATGGAGCTATACCAGGAGCAGTGCTATGATTTGCTGTCTGGCAAAGAACGAGGCCATAGTATTATAGAAATAAGAGAAGATATCAACAAAGGTGTACACTTGCCAGGTAATCTTATCAATATTCTTTATTTATTTTTAACAATGTTCAGGATACGATGAGGTTCTTATCTATTATATTTGACGCATGATACTTTTGTTAGACATGTGTCAATCATGAATGATTCGTTCGTTTGAGCTGGTACACTTAAAAGTATTGATGGTTCATTCATCTGTTTTTGAATGTTCCGGTACAACCAATCAGAAACAATTAACGGAACCTTTTTAACTCGTGATTGGCGTGAATTGTGAGTGAGTCAAAAACCGACCGAATCCCGAATGATCTGAATTAATTGTTTTCAATGTAGGGTACAGTGTCAGTTCCTAATGGATCTTACGGACTTACAGAGTACTGGATCACGATATGATTTATTTGATGATGAATGATTGACAGGCAGACGTTGTTCTGCCCTTTTCGACGATAATTTGTCATGTCCTATTAAAAATCCTTAAATTCGCAAAAAAATGGGTCACTCATGGGCAAAAAATCTATCCTATCTCTCAAGTTGGACCAAACTCCACAAGGTGTGAAAATTTGATCAAAATTGGTTAAGTAGTTTAGGAATCCATCGCGGGCAAACAACGTGACACGTAATTTATATATATAAAGATTATGATGTATTTTTTTGCTATTCTGATGCAAATATATATTTTTTTTATTTTTTCTTTGTTGGGGAGGTGCTCCCCACTAGTACCTGCGGGGTTATCCGTTACCGTACTACCTATATATCAAGAACATCTGATTTCAGATGAACTATGTGCCTTTAAACTTTAAACCATCATTTTTGGAGGCCATAAGGTTTTTGCGAATTTTTTCTTAGTTACAAAATTATATAATGAGAAATCATGCAATTAAATTGGACTTCAATATTGCACAGTCACCACTCTTTTAATAGATAACAGGCTAATCTTACAAATTAAAATATTAAAAAAATATATAAAGATTTTCTTATGAAATTTTAGACTTTATAACATTCTAAACAAATAAGTTTGATTGTTTGTTTGCATATAATGTCACCCCATACTTATGGAAGGTCTTTTCAAGAAGAAGAAATCTTATTGAGATTTTTGTCATTAAAGGTATTACAGAGCTGCCTGTAACATCAACTATGGAAACAATGATGGTTTTGGAAAGAGGTTCTATTGGCCGTGTAACTGGATCCACAGCTATGAATCAAGCTTCAAGTAGAAGTCATGCTGTTTTCACCATTGTTATAACTAAGGAGAGTCGTACTGATAAGTAAGTAATTTATTGAGTTAAAACCCATTTTATTTACATCATTAGGGGATGTCCATTAATTACGTGAGGCATTCAAAGGGGGGGGGGTAGGTATAGCCGAGTCTCATCTAATCTTCACGTGAGGAAGATGTAGGATAATTTTTATTTGCAAGAAACCGTGTAAAATTGCAAGAAAAGAATTATAGTGGATATACTTTTACAAATTTTAGCTGTCTATATTTAATTATGTTATTGTTCTGTTTTCTCATTGTGAATATAGACAATGTTCTTAGTAGTCTTAACTAGTCTTATGTAAATAAAAATAAAGCAAATTAAGTTGTTTTTTATTAAAATAAATTCAACGTCAATTTTTTGAACGTGTATGTCAAATTTTGTATATTTTCTGGGATTTTGTTGTAAAAGCGTATACATCGCCCAAGAATGAATTACTGAGTCGGTGGAGTTGAGTGACTGGTACTACTAGCTTGTGTCTGTTCCTAGTATTTATTTGACTGACCTCTCAGTAGAAGTCAGACTATTTCTCTCAGGTAAACGTACTCGTCATTTTTTGTCGGACCGTCGGGGCTCGACCAGGTCCACTTTCTGAGGGGCCGCTTCTGGAAGAAAGAGTACATCATAAAGTCCCTCTTTCTCCATGAAGTCAGCCAGCTGTTGGCCCCTTGGGTTTCGTTGCCCTATTCCAAATTTCCCTACCTTCAGCTCACTGTTCTTAAATATAATATCCAGCAATTTTTTTTACAGAAACATTGCAACTACATCAAAATTTCATTTAGTGGATTTAGCGGGTTCAGAGCGAATAAAAAAGACGAAAGCAAGTGGTGAAAGACTTAAGGAAGGCGTAAAAATAAACCAAGGCTTACTGGCACTCGGAAACGTCATATCTGCACTGGGCGATGGGACTAACAGGAGCTACATTAGTTACAGAGACAGTAAACTCACAAGGTTGTTGCAAGGTAATTATTGCAATTCACTTTAAACCGCCTACCGCCTCAATTCGAGTGTATTTTTTTTAATGTGCAAATAAACTTTTTTCTAGATTAACTGATTTTGATTATTTTTTTTTATTTGAAATCTAGTGCTTCTCATGTGGTCCTGTATAAATTTGTACAAGATCCGATCAGTAGTTTTTGAGTTATATTTTACCACTTGTATCATAGTAGTGTTGATGTGGTGATAGCTGAGTTTGGCTTGGCACACCATACAGTCAATCTCAAATATAAGAAATTAAATTTTATTTAAATTAAATTTTACCATCTGAATTTGTATATGTCTCCTCTATCTGTAATTTAACTGGTTTCTATTATAATAAACATTTTTTTTAAGGATTTTTTCAATAACTATATGACATATATAAAAAAGGTCTCAACTAAACGCTCTTCTCTTCTATCCTTAGTGTTGATGCAAAATGGATTTTTATTTTTTTTACTTAAACCCCACTTTGCAACAAAAATGTGAGTGTTGATAAGGTATATAGTACTTTTTACTTAAAATTAATAAAATAGATCTTTAATTTTTATTTTCTCTTATATGTTATGGCACACTGAAATGATCGGGGATAGAATATTTCAGATTGAGTTACAATAAAACCTTTTTTTAGAATTTGAATACTGGCCTCTTAGAATCTTAATGACATTCAACAATAAAAAAAATATTTAAAACAAAAACTGTGTTGGTTTCAAGTTGACACGTCGTTAACAGAAATGGAGCTCACGCGTGAACATTTCCGTGCCATAATTTATCACATATTTCGTCGCGGCTTATCTCAAGATAAATGTCTCAGCGAACTTGTTTCGATTTATGATGTTGAAGCACTGAGTCAAACAACAATATACCGCTGGTATGCAGAGTTCCGACGCGGTCGTGTGTCGCTCAGCACTGTTTCTTCTGCAGGTCGACCAAGAACAGCGGTCACGCCTGAAAACATCGCAGCTGTGTGAACTATTATATTAGATGACCGTCATGTGACATACGAGCAGATTCGGGCTGTTATCAGTATCAGAATAACTGCAACTCAGTCGATATTACATAATGAGCTGTGTGTAAGAAAGCTATTTTCCTGCTGCTGGGTTCCCCACAATTTGTCCGAAGAGCCAAAGGCGGCTCGTGTAGATTGGTGCCTGAATACTCTGCAACACTTCTACGGAGGGAAGTCGTTTATAATATCATCTCAAGTGACGAATCATGGATTTATTCATACGAACCTGAAAGAAAACATCAGTCAGCAGTTTGGATCTTCGAAGATGAGGTCCAAACCAACGAAATGGTTCGCCCCCGCAGCGTGTCAAACAAAATGGTTGCTATGTTTGTCTCGAAAAAGGGGAATGTTGCTACAATTTCTATATAGGAACGCAGAACGGTTATCGCTGAGTGGTATATCATGGTTTGTTTGCCAGAAATGATAGCCGAACTCCGAAAAAATAACCTGAAACGTCGCATCATCTTACATCACGATAATGCGAGCTCCCATACGGCTCGGAAGGCAAATGATTTTTTGAAACAGGAAAACGTTGAGCTGATGAGCCAACCTCCGTACAGTCGTGACCTGAGCCCAAACGATTTCTTTACATTCCCTAGAATGAAAGATTTATTACGCAGTCAACGGTTTGAAGACCCCGAAGCAGCTGTGGAAGCATACAAATCAGCAATTTTGTCAACATCAACTGGTGGAGCCACGTGTTTAAGGCTGCCGAAAATCTAGTTCCCCGGTCAAACCTCAAACCTATTACGCGAGATATTAACTAAAGTGGACTGTATATGCGATTGCTTCTATGCTTATGTGAAGCGACTACTATAGCATGCGGTACAATGCACTCGCTCTTCCCTAAACTAAACTATTACTTGTCGAATCGATGAAAGGAATCCTGCTTGACTAGGAAAAAAACACAAATTGGAGCGGGTTAAATTATTAGCAAGCAGGTATAATTAAGGAGTATTGACTCACCGGGGTTTCTTCTTCCTGTCGATCACTATGGCGGCGACTTCCGGAACCTCCTCTGGACAGACACTTCTGGGGCCCCAGTGGTGCGTCAGGAGAGAAGCGTTGGTTCAACGACGACTGCGGCGGGAGAAGAGAGCGCGCGTCGGTCGCGCGTGTCTTATATATCCTCGGGTCCGATGATTACGCGATGTTCTAGAATCGTCTTCTTTCCCCTCCCACCCCACCACCCCGATGTGTCGATAGGAGGGTACGAATGATATTGTTTCGGAAGGGAATAATGATTCGACAAATTCCTACCGTCAAAAATAAAAAACGCGAATGGTTTTCCGCGCAACCATCTCCCCCCGCCCTTGAAGGATTTCCTTCAAAAAAAATAACTAAACAACTAGAGCTAAGATCGACTAACAAATAACTAACTAACGCTAAGATTACCTAAATTAAACTACAATTTCAGTCAAAAAAGCTAATTTAAATTATGGAAGAGGCAAGGGGCACAAACGGATAACCGGACGTAGGTAAGACCCAACCGTGGTCTTAACGCGAGCTATCCTAATTACTCCGTCGGAACCGGGAAAGACCTCCTCGACGATTCCTAACGGCCAGTGGAGAGGCGGCGTATTCTCCTTAGTGAGCACAACTACGGTTCCTACAGCTAAAGGCTCTGTCGCTGTGTTCCATTTTTGCCGAGACTGCAAAGTATGCAAGTATTCCATCCTCCATCGTTTCCAAAACGATTGCACTAACCGATCTAATAATTTGTGGCGTGTGGAAATGTTAAGTCTGTTCTCATCCATATCCGCGGCGGGCAGATACCTTAGAGGCGTTAAAGTCAAAAAATGTGCTGGAGTTAGAGCCAGCGGTTCCGAGGGGTCACTAGATAACGTCCGACAAAGTGGGCGGCTATTCATTACGCATTCAATTTGAGCGAGCACCGTACTTAGCTCTTCGAAGGACAAAATTTGATCTCCTATTACTCGGTATAAGTGGCTCTTTAGACTTTTAATATTAGTCTCCCAATTGCCCCCAAAATGACTCGCGGCTGGGACGTTCAGAGACCACTCAATGCGGTTCTCGGCTAGAATGTGAGCGAACTCCGAATTATAATACTTGCTAGCTAAGAGCTCGTGTAGTTCCGATAGAATACGTTTTGCACCGACGTAGTTCGTACCGTTATCCGAATATAATCTACTTACAGGGCCTCTGCGCGATAGAAATCTTTTAAATGCACCCATAAAGCCTGCTGTGCTTAGATCACCAACGAGTTCTATATGCACTGCTCGAGTAGTTAGACATACGAAAATGCAGACGTAAGCCTTTGTGGATCTTATACCACGCCCGCGAGTGAGCGTGACCTTAAACGGACCAGCAAAATCAGACCCGGTGTGCGTGAAGGGCTTTACCGATTGTATCACTCTACAAGATCTAAGTTCCGCCATTTCCGGAAATGACGGCTTGGGGCGTGCCCGAAAGCAAGCTATACATCTGTGCACCCGATTGCGTATTAAACTACGTGCAGAAAGAATCCAATAATTCTGGCGCAAGATCGACATCAATAAATCGGGGCCAGCGTGCGAGTTCAATTTATGATGATAATCGACTAATAAGTTCATGATATGGTCTTTACGCGGTAAAACTATAGGGTGCCGTTGGTCGAAACTCAACTGCGAGTTGGACAAGCGTCCACCTACCCTTACAATCCCATCCTGTAAAAATGGCTTAAGGCGTTGAAAGGCGCGACTACAAGCTCTATTCGATTGTAATCTTGTAATTTCTTCAGAGAAGTGTGCACGTTGAAGTTCACGTAATACTAGCGACTCGGCATAGTTGTAATCGGATGCTAAGACATACGAACGTCGCGGTAAAAGCTTCGCGAATCGACAAACGTAAATTACGCTACGCAATAATTTCGACCAAGAGGACAAGCGGTTCGCCAGAGCAATGATTGGAGAAACCTCGCTCGAAACGTTCGCCACTAGAGCGTGTCTCTTCTCTTCCGGCGGTTGTGACACTGACGAAGGTTCGAAATCGGTTATTGGCCATTGTGAGGGATCCAAGTGAACCCAAGAAGGTCCATGGAACCAAAGCGGGTGGTCCATTATTTGCATCGGGGTGAGTCCCCGGGATAGACAATCGGCAGGGTTTTCCTTACCGGACACGTGATAAAAGTTCCGCGTTTCTAACTCGTCTTGGATCTTGGCCACTCGGTTCGCGACAAACGTATCCCAACGGTGGGGTGAAGAATGAACCCAACATAAGGCGACGGTGGAGTCGGAAAAGGCAAATATTCTTTCTATGTGAACTCTATCCCTACATGCGCCGATAACTGTGGTAATAAGCTTGGTGAGTACTAATATTGCGCAAAGCTCTAAGCGCGCCAGAGAGACAACCTTACGGGGGGGAGACTCTCGACTTAGAACTAATGAGGCTAATCGAATTTCTACCATTATTCTGGACATGGAAATATACAACGCCCCCGTAAGCCTTCTCGCTGGCGTCTGCAAATCCAACAACCGTTATGCTGCTATTTCTATCGACATTTATATGACGCGGTATTTTAATTTCTCTTAGTAAAGGAAGTTCCTCTCTAAAGCGCTGCCACAATCGAACAATGCTGTCAGGCGGCGAGTCATCCCAATCGCATTCAAATAACCAAAGTTGTTTAATCAAAAGCTTAGCGTATAATACCACCGGAGCTACGAAACCCATGACGTCCCATAATCTAGCAACGCATGACAGTATTGTGCGCTTTGTGCATTTCTCTACGGGCGGATTTACCTTAAGGCTAAACACGTCGGACTCTGGTGACCAACACAGACCGAGCACCTTGTGTGTATCGGAATCGTCGAATTCCTTTATCGCCGAAAGACGGTGTGATAGTGGGATTGTATCTAAAACCGGACGCGAATTACTAGTCCACTTCACAAGATCGAATTGACCCGATTTCATGAGCCTTATAACCTCGGCGGTGGTTAGGGTGGCCTCCTCCACGCTATCGACCGAATACACAAAATCATCCATATATAATCCGCTCTCAATTGCCCTCTTAGCTTTAGGATAAGAGGGACCTTCATCGTGAGCGAGCTGTCTCACCGTGCGTAACGCATGAAATGGGCTCGACTTTAAACCAAAACAAACGCGGTTAAATTCAAACACCATTAGAGGTTCCTTTGGGTTGAAACGATATAAAATGCGCTGGAATCTACGGTCGCATTCACGGACCCCTATGCAAAGAAACATTTGGCGAATATCGGCGGATAGTGCTATACTAAACAAACGAAAATTGACTATTATATCAAATAAACTGCCCTGTAAATTTTGCCCACTATAGAGGATATCGTTAAGCGACAGGTGAGTGCTAGTTTTAGCACTAGCGTCGAGCACTACACGTAATTTAGATGTAAGTTTGTCCTCTCTAATGACTCCGTGGTGTGGTATAAAATACGACGGTGTGTCTTCGTAGTTATCTAATTTCGAAGCCACAAGTGATATGTAACCTTCTCTTATATATTCGTTAATGACGCCGTCGTAAGCTTCCTTTAACTGGGGCGAAGCGAGCATCCTACGCTCCAAGCTGTAGAAACGTTTTTCCGCCATTTGACGCGAATCGCCGAGAGATAAAACATCTCCCTTAAAGGGTAGCGCTACACTATATCTACCGTCGCGATCACGAACGGTCGTGCGGACGTAAATTTCCTCGCATATCCTGTCAGCTGAACTAGCTATGGGTGGGACGTTCACCTCCTCCATCTCCCAAAATTTGCGGACTAACGACTCGAGCGGTTCGACAGCCATACCACAATAAGATGCTGCCGAAATACTATCTAGGATGGGGGCGGAGCCAAGGATCACATAGCCCAATACGGTTTCCAGTGCGTAAGGCGCGGTATGCGAGGAGTTGCCCCTGACCTTATTGTTTAACAAAAGATGAGGGAAAAGCGATGCCCCAATGAGCATGTCTATGTTTCCAGGAACGGCGTAAGTGTCGTCTGCTAGAGTCAAATTTTTAAATTCAATCATTGCCGAGGTGTCAACCGAAACGGTTGGCAACCGTTCAGTGACCCTATCTACTACTAGTGCATTTATATCAAAGTTAACGTTACGATCTATCCGAGAATAAAATTTTAAATTTATATATCCCTGTGTCGCTTTACTAGTACCTCCGATGCCTTTAACTACAGGACATGAAAGTGACCTATTTATTACTAAGCCTAAGCGCTGACAACATTGTCGTGTTATAAAGCTATTTTGGGCTCCGCTGTCCAGCAGTGCACGGACGCTTTGTTTGTTTCCACGCGAATCCCTAACCAAAATACGCGCCGTACCCAGTAACACGGTTGAAGGAGGTTGTGCTCCCATATTTGCCAATGAGCACAGAGCGACATCATCAGGTCGACCGCTAGAATCGTTGACCTTAGTAGGGGTGAATTCCTTATTCGCCTTACTTGACGCCGCTATGTTGCTATTTTCAAAATGTAATAGCGTGTGATGTTTCCTGGCGCACTTGCTACATACGGAACTCGAATTGCATTTTGCAACTAAATGCTTATCGCTTAAGCAGTTCAAACATAGGTTGTTTGTCTTTACTAACTTATAACGTTCGCTTGGTGAATATTTACGAAAAGTCGCACAGTTATATAAGTTACCGTGTTTATCTTTACATACTATACAAGTATGCTGGAGTGATGTCGGCGTAGCGGTTACGTAAGTTAACGACCCTGCTATTTTAGATGGTTGAGTCTGTCTACGGTCGACGCACCTTTTAATCTCCTGTTTAACGTTCGGTGAGCGCTGCATCACCTTTATTTGATCTCGCACGAACGTTGCTAATGAATGAAAGGAAGGCATCTCCGAGCTACGATGCTCCATTTCAAACGCACGCACGGTGTCGGAGTCTAATTTCTTTAATGCTATATGGAGAAACACCACGTCCATAAGGTCATCAAACTTCAAATTCTTAAGTGCAGCCACCGATGCCACAAATTTATCGAGAAACTGCTCTAAGCCGTTGATGTTCGCGGATGATATAGGTTTAAGATCGAATATCTGGTTCAAATATTCGGAAGCTAACATTCTCCTATCTTCATATTTAGTTTTAAGCGTTTCAAATATTAATACGTAATTGTTTGCTGTAGGTGTAAAACCCGAGCAGATCGACTGTGCTCTGCCACTAAGTTTGCTAATTAAGTAATATAATTTTTCAGCGTCCGATAACGATGGGTTGTTGTGTATATTGTTTTGAAAACTACTGAAGAAGAAGGGCCACGTCTTAATATCACCATTGAATACCGGAATATCTATTGGCGGTAACCTAATTGAGTCACGAGGGCGTACCTGCATTTCAGGCTTCGCTTCACCTTGAGATTGTAGCAATTTTGCGGTTCTCTTCACGCGACACAACATATCTTCGAATGCCAGCAGCGGTTGGTAGTTCACTATGTATTTCGGGTCGGTTTGTAGTTCCGAATGATTAATTTGGTCTAATATTCTTTCGTAATCTGTCCGCAAATTATCAATCGTTTCGATTTCATTTAAAAAGGCCTCCCGTACTGCCTCTATATGAATGTTCTTTATATAATCACTTATATTTTGCACACGCGAAAAGAGTATGTCCCTCTTGGCATAAAGCGTTTTAATTTTGATTTCACTTCCACTAACTGCCATTTTAAATTATTATAATAAAGTTATATTAATCACAATTAATCTCACACGCATAAACGACGTAGGATGAATACTCGGCGTGCTGTATTACGTAATCAGATCGAGCGCCCGATGCAGTCAAGGCTACGCGTCGTTTGCTAAACCTAATAATTTTATAAAATTGTGGGGTAAGCGTATCAAACGGTTGCTATCACGCCGTTTCAATTATTTAATAAGCTTTAAATTTAACCAAATACGAGCGCTATTAAATGAATAATTCTGTTTGCGAGTAACAAATCAAAATTTTAATTTAAACGAACACTATTTAAGTCTATTCCATAAGTTAGAGTGCGTTATCTAAACAATTAATTTAATAATTCGACCAGAAAATGGTTGGATAACCACTAAACACCAATCCAGATCCGGCTCGAAGGACCATAAAATGGTGGAGCCACGTGTTTAAGGCTGCCGAAAATCTAGTTCCCCGGTCAAACCTCAAACCTATTACGCGAGATATTAACTAAAGTGGACTGTATATGCGATTGCTTCTATGCTTATGTGAAGCGACTACTATAGCATGCGGTACAATGCACTCGCTCTTCCCTAAACTAAACTATTACTTGTCGAATCGATGAAAGGAATCCTGCTTGACTAGGAAAAAAAACACAAATTGGAGCGGGTTAAATTATTAGCAAGCAGGTATAATTAAGGAGTATTGACTCACCGGGGTTTCTTCTTCCTGTCGATCACTATGGCGGCGACTTCCGGAACCTCCTCTGGACAGACACTTCTGGGGCCCCAGTGGTGCGTCAGGAGAGAAGCGTTGGTTCAACGACGACTGCGGCGGGAGAAGAGAGCGCGCGTCGGTCGCGCGTGTCTTATATATCCTCGGGTCCGATGATTACGCGATGTTCTAGAATCGTCTTCTTTCCCCTCCCACCCCACCACCCCGATGTGTCGATAGGAGGGTACGAATGATATTGTTTCGGAAGGGAATAATGATTCGACAAATTCCTACCGTCAAAAATAAAAAACGCGAATGGTTTTCCGCGCAACCATCAACATCAGATTGGAATTACTGTTTTAATGATTGCTTTGCGCGAATGGAAAAGTGCATTAAGTTGAACGGAGAATACTTCGAAAAACAATAAAATACAATTTAGCTATACCATGCATGTGGTTTTTCTTATTCCCGATCATTTCAGTGTGCCCCTCGTAGCCCAAAGTTTTTGTGATAATAGCAAAAAGCTTTTGTTTTTGTTAAGTGTTTATTTTGTGAGCGTTTTATGCTGACGAAGTCGCAGGTAAAAAGATAGTATCGAATATAATAACTGACTTATATTTATTGTTTTATTTTATAGACAGTCTTGGTGGCAACTCACTCACATTGATGGTAGCTTGTGTAAGTCCAGCTGACTATAACCTTGATGAGACAGTATCAACACTAAGGTATGCGGATCGTGCTCGTCGTATTCGGAACAAGCCTATTATAAACCGAGACGCGAAAGCTGCTGAAATTGTCAGGTTATAATTTTTTTAAATATGTTCTATGAAATATATATAATTGGCAGATTTCACGTTTTTGTATTGCATCGTAATGTATTAGTTATCATAAAACATAATAATTTATGTTTTCTTTTGTGTAACTACACGTCTTTTCGAAACAAAAGCATTTGGCAGATTTTTTTTATTGAATGTATGATGTTCCTAAGTGCTTTATAGTGATAAAGAACTTGAGGTTTCATATAGTATCATAGTGGTCAGAGAGACACCCACGCCACATGCAAAAGCACGCGCACGCGCACGCACGCACGCACGCACGCACGCACGCACGCACGCACGCACGCACGCACACACACACACACACACACACACAGGAGCACGAGAGACGCACGCACGCACGCACACGACGCACGCACGTCAGACGCACGCACGCACGCACGCACGCACGTAAACGCAAATGCAAATGCACACCTACTCGAACTATTGTAATTAAGTACTTTTAAATCTTATAAAATATACTTCACTTCTGTCGTGCGTACGTATTTTGTAGTTCACGTTGGATTTTAATCAGTGTAGCGTCAAAATTTCCCTGGATGTGGAAACCGTTCATTAAATAGAACAATATTTCGTAATATACTAATAACATTGAGACCATCATCGAAGTCAGCACTGTAATTTGTTCCTCAGTCTCTTCCTGTTATTCGTCATTTTCCTCTTGAACTTGTACAATATCGTCTTCTGTAACTGGTGCACAAAATCGCAACAGTAAATAAATTTTGGCCTAATTGAGCCAAAGAAATATTCGAAACGTCGGGATAATAAAAATAAATTAAAGTAATTAAACGCGATAAAATCCGTAAATAATAGTTCTATCCAAAGAAATATTATCCTCGTCATCATCATTAGTCACATCATCTGAGGATATTGTTAAGAAGTCTTTAAAACCTGCATGTCTCAAGCCGTTAGCTATAGTTTTTTTTTCTCTTCTACGACACAATTTACACTCATTTTACCGCCGACGATATCGTGCCGGGACCGAGGAGCAAACGAAATCTTCACCGAAACGCTGAGCAAAATCATTCGATTTTTGTTGAAGAATTGGTCCATCAATTTTTTGGCACATTATTATTTGTCCTTTGATATTTAAACCACTTTAACAAATATTCATATGTTTCATTTTTGTTGCTCGTTTCATTTTCAAAAAATTGCAGGCCAAAAGTGATTTAATTTTTTCTCTCTCTTTCCAAATGGTTGAAATTATCGAGTGTGATACACCACATTCCTTTGTCAAGTCCTTTTTTGGAATTTCGCTATATAGCTTTAATATAATATTCGGTTTTTCTTCGATAATGATTTGTTTTCTTTTTCTTTGCAACGTGCTAAAAGTTTCACAATTAACTCTACAATATGCTTTGGTGTGTAAGTAACGAACTGACTGAACAGATATCACTATGAGGAAGCGGGTTTTGATATACACGTGTATTTTATTTCTGAGAATTACAAAATACCCTAAACTTGACACTTTTTTGTTTACTTTTGTGATCTTAATAGCCATTGACCATTATGGCTGATTTACACAGGGTCAGTAACTGACTACAAATTCGAGGCAAGTCAGTGCTGACCCGAAAAAAAAACTTGTGTAAACTAATTTGAAGTCAGTACAGTGGCTTGAAGTCAGCGCTGACTTGAATATTCGGACACGAATATTTTTAAAGTCAGTTGGCGCCCCCCGCCACCCGCGCACCCCCGCGCCAGCCAAATAAACCCCGTGTAAACAGACAAGTCAGGCGGTGGTTAGTCACTGCCGCTGCGTTGTAGAGTGACCACGTTTTTTTCGCTGGCGATAAAAATGACGCTTAAGCTTAGCGAAGACGAAACCTTAAAATTGGTGCAATTATATGGCGAAAACGAGTGCCTTTGGGATATTAAATCCCTAAATTACCGCAATAAAGAAATGCGGTCAACAGCGTTGCAAAATATGGCTCAACAAATGCAAATCGGAGGGCTCACTTCTACTGAAGTAAAAAATAAAATTAAAGCCATAAAGGCTACATATTATTTAGAGCTCGACAAGATACAAAAATCCACCAGATCTGGCGCTGGTGGGAATGTATATGTCACAAAAATCAAGTGGTTTCAAGAACTGGACGGCTTTATAAAAAATGCTATTGTAAAAAGGAAAACAATGGTAAGTATTTATTGTAACTTATTTATTTTATTTCCATCCTAGGTACCTATACAAAATTAATGAATACTATCCAATTGCCATGGCACACTTCCAGCATTCATAAAGAAGTTCCTATATAAGTCTCTTTTTTCTTTAGCAGTCATGGAATGGTTGCCTGTTTGTTGTTCTGAAATGCTTGGTAGTGGATTTATTTCCGATCTCCATGTTCCTTCTATTATTTGTCCATCATTGTCCTCTCTGTCTACACAAGTAGATGTTATGTAGGAACTTGAACGCTTTCGCAACCAATTATGCAGGGCACAGGCTGCACAGACAATGGCATCAACTGTGTCCACATGGCTTGGAATTGCTTTTTCGAACACTCGGAATCTAGAAACCAGTATACCAAAAGCATTTTCACTTATGCGCCTTGCACGCGACAACCTGTAGTTAAAGACTTTTCGACGGCAGTACTTAGCTGCGTACCTGGATAGTTTGAGTAAATAATTCTTCAGTGGAAATGATGCATCACCAACTATTACTCCATTTGTAGGAAGCAATCCATCTTCCAACCGACGATATAATGAGGAATTTTTGAAAACACCTCCATCAGAGGCGTTTCCATTCGCTCCAACGTCTATATATGAAAAACAATAGTCTTGGTCTACAAGTGCTAACAATACTGTACTATTGGTTTTTTTATAATTATAAAATTCACTTCCACTATTTGGAGGAGCTTTAATTATAATATGCTTCCCATCGATTGCTCCATAACATGAAGGGAAATTCCACTTGGTATTGAAACCGTCTTCAATAATTTTCCATTCTTCCTCTCGTTCTGGAATCTGTAAACAAAAAAAAATAATTACAACCTAAACACGTATTATCATCAACTAATGATTTATTAAACATTACATTTTATTCTCATTAACAGGATAACTCAGGAACCAGCAACGATGACGTTGAGTTGGGTGAAGCTGAGGGTGTTGGTGACGGAGCTGAAAATGTATCAAGATCTACTGAAAATAATGATAATTCTACTGAAACGCCAACTCAAGCCATCCAGAGACGCCAGTTCGAAATTCTGTGACAGCTCCCAATCAATCTGGGCCTCCGCGATCAAAACGCTCCAAAATATCTCAGATGGCCGCCATGATAAAGGACATAAAAAGTGTGTCAAATGATGTTAATATGTCACCATTTGAAGAAGAGACTGACGCTGATATTTTCGGTAAACATGTGGCAGCTCAACTAAAAAAACTTTCTGAAGAACAATCTGTTATTGCACAAGAAGAGATCCAAAAAATATTATCCAAAGCTAGATTGGCTGATATACAACAAAAGAAGTATACAGAAAATGCACACTCTTCATCCCCTAACTATTTTATCCCTAGTCCGGCAGCAACTACAACAAGCAGCACAAGTAGCATGGGATTTTACTCCCTGGAGCCCAACCCAATGACTGCATCAAGCGACAACACCATAACATTTTACCTGCCAGAGGTTGCCGAGCCTGCCACTAGCAACAGCTCTTTAGGATTTCATCCTTCCAATCGATCAATGAACCCTACATTTGTAAACCCCAGGCAGGTTATTATTACACCCTCAGGTTTGAATTACAGCACCACGATCAACGAAGAAGCTGAAAGTGAAAATAACACTGCTGTTAACACGATTATGCGTGCCTATGACAATTCTTAATACTATTTTGATGTTGTATTTCTTAATTTTCTAATAATTTAAAATTTTTCTTACCTTAATATGTGTTTTAGTGCCGTATATATTGCCCAGCACACTTCTGGTATTAGTTGAGAAATTGCTGGTTTTGAGACATGATAAAAGTGACTAAGGAACCGATAGTTCATTCCTGAAGCCAAAAATTTCAGCGTTATTTCCAGTTTAATTTTGGCTGGTAAAGCATCTCTCATGAATGTATCATGTCGTTGAATAGAGCTCGATATCATCGACAGCAATTCGTCAAAATTCTGTGGTGACATCCTCATAGCCAGTTTGTACTCCGCAGGATCTTCAAATCGCAATTGCTTCAGCAACAAAGCAGAGCCACCAGTTTCGTTTCTATCGTCAATCCGTTTTCTTACCCATTGTCGTTTATTTTTAGTTATCTCATTTTCTACCATTTCTATTAACCCGTTCAACAGCAAAATTTATAAATTTTTCAACAAATAATTAAATCGTCGTTTCAGTTGTTTTCGCGAATTCATATTTCCCACTGACTTCACACACGTGTGCTCACCGTGAGAAACGCACCACTAGTACTTACTTCATGTAAACAGTTTAAAGTCAGTCGCGGCGCCGACATTGGCGCTGCGACTGACTTGTCTACTGACCCTGTGTAAATCAGCCATTATACTGTAATAGAGTAGATATAGATACTGTTACCTATTAAAAAAATTTACAATACAGCTGGTCATTCTGACAGATACAATTCTCAGAAAATATTAGCTAAATAAAGTCACTTATTGAGGTATGTCGTAATAAGTAATGTCCTAGAAAGCAGTGTTTTTATAAGGACATCATATAGCATTCACCAGGTACCTATGATTTTGGTCAATATAACTGATATATTCTAAAAGAAGTCGTCGTAAACGATTTTAACTGCATTACAATATTTTGAATACTTACAGATTGAATGATTTGGTCACTGAATTGAGATTGCAGTTATTAGGAAAATTACCCACAGTTAGTGAAGAACGCTATGAGAAACTACAAGAAGAGTTAGACAAAGAAAAAGCAAAATATGGTGAATTGTTGAAAAAACACAAGCAAGTAACTGAGCATCTTGGCAATATGTTGATTGAAAATACGAATTTGTGTGAAAAGGCACTTTTAGCAGAAGCTGCTAAGGACAAAATTGAACGCAAGCTTAATGAGCTGACAGAAAAGTGTAATCAAACAATACAGAACTTAAGTACTACTGACCAAGCTCCAGATGAGGAACGTAGGAATAGTGTAGTTGACTATATTAAAGAATTAAAGTCAAGATTAGAAGATTTGCAGTCAGTTAATATGAAGACTAATGAGGAATTAATTGACCACGAAATTAAGCTGTCATTTGTTAAGGAGGGAAATGAGAATGATAAGGTTGATGATGATATGCTCCTTAATGAGGACCAGGCTGTGTTGGAGGAAGAGAAGAGAGCTATGGGTCAGGTAATGAAGCTATTGGTTTTCTTGTATTTTTATCAATACTTTTTCACTGTTTGTCAGTCTTGCAATGCTTAGTATTTAATAATGTTTATATGACTTAGTTTATCAACACTTATCATATCACCTTCTCTTGTTACTATATGTTAATTGTCATCATTAATCACTAGCGTAATTTATACACCAAACGTGCTATCATTTAGCCACTTCCTGGCTGTTGTTACAGAGTGTGCTGGCGCGCCATCTAATTGATACCACATTCGTTGATATCGATGGGCGTTTAGGTTGTTCGTGTATTCTGACACCTTATCATTTAGTTGATTAACAAACCTTTCTCCATTCAAAGTCCCTTCAATGAATACGGGTCCGATGATGTCACCATGAAAAGCTGCCCAAATATTTACCGAAAATCTGTAATGATGGGCTGACTCCCGCCAAACGCGCGGATTTTGGTGTTTGGGTGCCCAATAGTGCAGATTGTGCTGGTTCCACAATATTAAATTTAATTAAGTACCTCATTTATGTCACTTAACAAATATAATCAGTGATCACAAAATTTTAATTTTAAAACTTTCAAAATTAGTACTCTTACTGCGCTAAGGCACAGAATAAATAATAATACTACGTAGCTAGTAAGTAAGTAAAAAGAATAAATATTAATTTCTCTGCATTGTAAGGTAACAAGCGGTTTCGCCTGTCTTCATAAACAAGGCCAATTTCAGAAAAAAGTCTTTCGCTGTATATACACTGCTGTATGGTGATGAAAGATAAATTTTGGTAAACTTTGATGAATTTGGGTATTGTGTAGCAATACCTGCCCACCAAATATAAAGGTCACGATCGCGAACAGTTTGCACTGACTTTACTTTTAGCTTCTTGCGATGCATTAAACGGCAATGTTCGGCAGAATATCAGTAACAATATGTAACGTAATTAACGTACACCTTCAGACACCCCAATTAAGTATATTATGTTATAATCATAATACATACACTGAATTTTTAGTTAAACATTTTTATGCACAGATTATTTATCAAATTAGTTACACTAATTCCGGAAGAATGTTGTGGTCACAGTACAAAACCACGAACGCAAAGACTTTAACGTGTTTGAAATAAAGTTCATTTTTCTTTATTTTTATTGAATGACAGAATTAGTAATAATACAAATAAAACTGCCCTTCTTAAAAGTCTTAATGCCTTATGTTAAGGTCCATTTCAGTTTGTTTTGACTGTACAGATTTAGTGTGACTGTAATTTACGTAGTTTTAATTATTTTTGGAATAAAAAATTACCTATATTAAAAATGATAGGAATTGATTCAGTAAACGATTCTGAACAAACTACTTTCTCAAAGTGCGTTAATTATGTTACATGTTATATATATATATATATATATATATATGCGAAATACCATTGACTGCCTGACTCATCACGAGATCTCTAAAACTATACATACACCCGATTGACTTTAAATTTAGAATAGTTACTCATTTTGCAATGTAGACGCACACTAAAAACGGATTTTGGGAAAAAAAGTTTTTCTGGATATTTTATATCTAGGTTCCATAAAATATTATCGTGCACCAGCGAAACACGCTTGTTCAATCAGCTAGTTTATAATGTGATTTTAATTTTATTATTTACTGCAAGTAAAAAGTGTTATATTATCAAATTTGAATACTAGGTGGCATTAAATCAAGAACTGCAAGAACTGAACCGTGCAATGGCAATCAAAGCATCGCTTGTTCATGCGATGTTGGCCAATAATAAAGAAATGTTGGAGAGTCACAACAATCTGAAGGAGAATGAGGAAAAGATAGCACACTTAGAGAAGGAAAGAGATGAGCTTATGCAACAGTTGAAACAAACTAAGGTATGTTATTTAAAGGTCCTTTTATTAAGTCTGATAATTGTCTTACACAATTATGTTTACTGTAACTTTTTCTAATAGAATAAAGGTGAAACGTAGTTATTATTGCATAGACATCCTCGATTAGGAATCAAAATGCAGATGCTTTGACACCCGTGAGTACTAAGATGGAATGCCTCGTTTCCTGTAAAAAAGGTTATATGTAACACAGCGACATAGAGCTGCTATTTTACGCCGGTATTCTGTAAGAGCGTGGTCATTCCCCGGCCGCGCAGACACATCCGTGCTACACAGACATTTCTAGTATTTTAGTTGATAGAATGCCTTTCCAGCTTAAATAGCTAGGACTCCAAGAAGTTTGTCAGTACTCCAAAAAATGTATCAATCTTTGAAATATTTTATAAAGCATCTTCAAATTATGACATTTTTATTTTAAAACATCTTCTTGAACGTTACACTAGATTGTAATACATTTTCTAGCCAAAATCTACAGTTTTGATAGGAAATGTAGATTTTTTTATAAAACTTTATTCCATCCCACACTAGGGGTTTTCCTGTTTTGTGGAAACAGTTTACAAACATAAATAGCACAAGGACAATCATTTGTCCATACAAATACTTGTTCTGTGCAGAATTCGAACCCACGGTTCCCAGTACAGCAACTCATTGCTGAGCCACTGCGCCACGGAGCCGGAGATATCATTTTATATTGGATTGTATTGCGTGTAAATGCTAATCCAACACCTTGCTTGAATACAAAATCACCATCAACATCATAGTTGTGTTATAGTATCCAAGTTTTATTTTACAATTTATAATAATAATAATTTCCTTACCCTTAACCGACGAGCATGTATGCGTAGGTATATGGATGTGAAAGAGGCGATAGAGGTATGTCAGGATCGTGCTAAATGGAAGTCTGTAGACTCTGCCTACCACTCTGGGTGACCAGGCGTGAGTGTTTATGTTTTTTTAATTTCCTTTGCAGAACAAAGACCCAACCCATGAAGAGCGTCGTACTAAAGTATCTGCTTTGGAAGCTGAGATAGCAGAGCTGAAGAAGAAATGCCAGCTACAGGCTAACATTATTAAGACCAAAGAAAGAATGAAGCGAAGATTGCCGCGCTTAATGCAGAATTACAAGCTATGAAAGCAACTAAGGTATGTTTTTTCATTAAGGTCTCTCATGCTTGATTTATCAAATAAAATCTATGTCTAGAGTTAGAGGTAAACAATTTCAAAGACTCGCGACGTTTACTAAGGTTATATTTTTATTGGATTAAAATACATTATTGCAAGAAAATTCAATACAAAGTTATGTGAACTGTTATATTCTTCGAAATTATACAAAGTGAATGATTGATTGACTATTGGGCTAGGGTTGCAAACTTTATATACGCGAAATAAAGTATATTATGACCGGAGTGCTAAAATAAACAGTACTTTAGAAAAACAAAGAGTATTTTTTTAAGTCTTAAAAACATGTTTTTGAGCTTCTTGCATAATTTAATAATTAATTGTCATTTTTATATATGTAAGTCTCTCCATGTTTCAGTCGAATTTGAAATAAATGACGAGCTCATTGTTTATTAAATTAATAGTAGCTCTATTTCAGGTTTTATGGTTCCGATTACAGAAATGAGACAGAATTTTGCATACTTTTTTAACAACAGTATTTTTTTTAACAATATAACAGTTTAGCTCTTCAGCTAAATAAAATATTAAACTGTTTTTAATATTATGGTTGGCATACCTATATAGGGCGGCCATTATTGTCATGTGGTGCCTGTGTTAGAGAATCACATATATGTTGTCACATATTGTGAAAACGCGACGGCGAGAAGCAGTCACGTCAATAGTCTCGCACCAAGTCTAGCACTAGTTTGGCTATTATCATTCTGCTATTAAGCGTAACGATTATAATAAATCCTCCCTACAATGTGAGTGGTCCGTGTCAAGTAGTGGATTTTTAAGGGCAGATAAAGAAGAAAGAAGATACGCCAGATATTAATTACCTAAAACTACCTAGTATTAAGTAGGTAATAAAGTAAACAATCAATCATAAATTTCCTAAATTTGTGAAGCAGACTATAAAAGGTCATTTTATATTATAATACATCAACTACATAATAAAGTGATGAGTGCAAATCAATATTTAGAAATAATCTATGACAAAAAGTGCGCGCACCTTTTGTTATGCTATTCTCATGATATAAAGAAAATAAATCATTATTAATAATGTTAATTATTATTATAATTGAAGGTCAAAATAATCAGACAAATGCGTGAAGAGAGTGAGAAATTCCGTAAATGGAAGGCGGATAACGAACGTGCAATGTTACGCTTGCGGAACGAGGACAGAAAACGCGCTACTGCCATGGCTAAGATGGAGTCGCTTCACACTAAACAGCAAAACGTGTTAAAACGCAAAATGGAGGAGGCCGTTGCCGTCAATAAACGATTAAAGGTTTTTTTTTGTGAAAACATAACTAAGAATAGTATTAGACCATGAATCAATCTCTAAAGAACTTTCTTTTGTTCATAACTCGCAGTTTAGTATCAAGAAAAACATAACTTGATATAAGTGGTGAATTTGTAATTGCATGTTGGGGGAGGGGGGGGGGGTAAATGAGGAAGATATATTCTTTTTTTCAAGAGGCCTCACCTGCATTAGTTGCCTCATGATGATTGTTAAAAGAGATTTCTTGTTTCTTGTTTATTCACTTGCGGAGGAATACGCTTAGGGTAGGTACCACCTACTTACCTGTTTCTGAACAAAAGCAACTGTGTATGCACTACTGTATTCCTGCAGGGTGCAGACAGCCAGTTTAATTACAGGTTGTGAGATATTTCATATTAGTCTTCGGAGATGGCAATGCACCTGTAACCTTCTCTACTTGGTGTTATTTGCAGCTGGCCGTAGGCTGCAGCGGCCACACCATCAGGTGTACTGTTAATTTTTTGTTACTTTAATTTTATAAAAAAAACCTTGGCTCTCTAACATGATGAAAAATCAAAGTGAAAAGTGTAAACACCGTTATCCTTGAAACCAGTGGTTTGGTTTCACTTATAGAACGTAAATTAAATGAAAAATAACATTTTTTTTAGTAAAATCTCAATTTTTCCTTAATTCCTTAATTTTTGTCTGTTCTAAGCCAGGATGAAAGTATGACGGAAATGTTACATCACAGGTTATGTGTATATTGTTTTTATTGGAATGTTGTGTAGGTAGCTAGTGCGGGCGGTGATCTTTACAGTGATTACGTCATTCGGGCGCATAGGGTTTCCATGAATTTACGGACGATGTTGGACAAAAACTTTAAATTTTATGATAGAAAATAGCATTTATTTTTAAAATTCGGATGAATATTTTTATATTAAAGCCAACTACCTATAGTTTTAGTGACAACGGTGTTTACACTTACACCTTGTGTATTAGTGTAGTTACTTACTCCCGCTTGACGGTACCGATATTATAGTAAGTCAAATTTGATAGTAAGGCGGTGTGCATGTCAGTCTTTAAGTTTTAAAATAGTACTATTATTATGGTATATTAGTTGTATTTATATAAATTATGTGAAACTAAAGACAAAAAAAAACTGCTTGACACTTAGCCTACTATTCGGCTATAGAAAATAGAAAATATGTATGTGTTTAATTAATACATACATACATACATACATAAACACTCACGCCTGTCACCCAGAGGGGTAGGCAGAGACTACAGACTAGGCAGAGACACACCTCTCTCGCCTCCATCACATCCATACGCCTACGCATGCATGCTCGTCGGTTAATGGTACTCCTAATTTGGCCCGTTTTCAATAAATCGCCAATTTGGTCGATAAATTTTCGCCTAGGACGTCCCTTTCCGACTCTGCCATTCACTTCTGCAACATAAATTTTCTTTGTCACTCTTTCCTCATCCATTCTTTCCACATGACCAAACCACCGAAGCATTCCTTTCTTAATCCTGGTCACAACATCATCTTGCAAACCACACTCTTCTCTTATCACACAATTTTTCACCCTGTCATTCAGATTCAGCCTTAACATACTCCTTAACGACCGCATTTCTACTGCATTTATTCTACTCTCGTGCTTCTTCTGCCACACCCAACTTTCACTACCATACGTTAAAGTAGGGACCAACACAGCATTGTGAATTGCCATACGTGCCTTTTTCGACACATTTTGACTCTTCACAATAGAGTGCAGGGCTCCATTTACTCTGTTTCCTGCTTTTTATGCTGCTGCATTAATGTACATATAATACATAACAACTCCAGTTACCCTCTTCCATATATTACCTTATTAGAGGATAATTGAATTAAAAATTGTTTGCCACAGTTTTTTATTTTCAGTCGTTACCAGGAAGCCACTGCTGCCCATATCCGAATTTGTTTCCTTTCTCTCAGGTCGTCTCTTACGACACCCACGGGATGATATGGGGTAGTGGATAATCATACACCGCCACAACACTAAATTCTAGTACTGGAATTGAAATGATCATTATGGGAGGATGGGGCCTGGATATTTTTATACAATATTAACTTTAGGCTTCTATAATGAAAAGTGTGTTCATAATATTAGTGTTATCAATTAAGCAGATAATAACACTTTCTTCAATTTGCAACATCAGGAGGCACTGGAAAGACAGAAGCAGTCCCAGATGAAGCGTAATGCTAAAGGCAGTGTGAAAACAGGAGCAATACAACAGTATATTGAGCAAGAGCTGGAAGTCCATCTGAGTATTGTTGAAGCTGAAAAGTCACTGGAGGAACTAATGGAGTATAGGTGATTATATTATTTGTACTCAGTGGCGAAGCTAGGGCTCCAAACTAGGGCAAGCCCAAGACATGGTTTTGTTGTTTTTAGCAGTTTTATAAAAATGCGCCCAATATTTTACATCGCAACTTGTTTTTTTTATCTTTAAATTTAGTTGTTATATAATTTAAAAAAATTTCAGACGTTTTTGTTGGTTATAAAGTATTACCAGACCCCCAAAAATATATTGAAATTCCCAAAAATATACTTTCGGCGATCCCAAATTTTAATCAGGTATTTATTGAGTAATTTTAATAATACCTGCAAATCTCCGGACAAATTTAACGGTTTAAAACAATTCTCAGATATGAATAAAGTTTACAAATGAATACGACAAAAAGTCTTTAGAAGGCGCGAGAAAAATAGCTTATTGAGGCATGCCGGCAGCTGACGGGGGCCTGCAGCTGGGGGGGGGGGGGGGCGGTGTCTCTTTGGCAGTGAAGAAGATTTCTCAGGCAGTAAATCTTCAGCTTCTTGCTAAAATGCAATGAATTGACCGTTAATTGTATGAATTAAAAATTGTTTCATTGTTTTATATAAAAAGCTTTTTTATTCAAATTGTTTTCACAAACATATTGTTTAGAAGACTGAAATGTCCATTATAGTTATTTTGTATAGTTAACTGTATTTCATTACACCCAAAGATTACTTTGCACGTGATTTACTGCTTAAGTATTTAAGTAATTTTCTATGTGATAGAGCCATACTGCAGTTATATTAGTAGTATAGTTGTAGCACGAATGGGTCGGCTCGAGCAAGGAAGGACCACGCTCTCACAAAATACCAGCGTAAAATAGTAGCTTAATGCTGCTATATTTTGTCTGATGAGTGTAGAGAACCGGAGATCCTTTTTACTGGAAACGAGGCATTCCATCGTAGTCCTCACGGGTGACAACGCATCTGCATTTTGATTCGTAATCGAGGAGCTACAGCAACCACTTACCATCAGGTGGACTGTGTGCTCGTTTGTCACTCTATCCTGTAAAAGAAATAAAAGAAAATCAGGGAGCGGTGAAGAAGAGAAATCAAATTAATAAAATGATAAACCTCCATTAATTTCCTTTAGTAATGTAAAAAACGATAGGTTGCTTTGTATTGTCGGGTCAAACTGGGCCACAGTGAGGGTGAGAAAATGCAACTCTAAACATACATAAAGATTAATAAAAATTATATATATATATATATATATATATATATATATATATATATTTTTTTTTTTTATTCAGGATTTTATTTAGAACATCCTTAACAAAAATACTATTTATTTTAAACTCCGCAGTGTATGCCGCGAGCGTAATTGTTGTTTTTTTATTTTTAATTAATTCTCAATTTTTAGGAAAAAAACTAAGTACTCTAAAATAATCTGTTGTGAACGCAGAACCCGAACTATACTCGAAACGCGCGGTTTCTCAATAACCAATCACAGCGCGAGGAACTTGTGTTCCCATCAGATGCCGGCATGCCTCGATAAGCATCTTTCTCGCAGCTATGGTTACGCATAAGACTTTTTGTCTTATTCATTTGTAAACTGTATTCACGTATGGGAATTGTTTAAACCCGCCTGACAATTTGCAGATATTATTAAAATTACTCAATAAATACGTGATTAAGATTTGAGATTACCTAAAGTATATTTTTTGGGAGTTTTAATAACATATTTAGGAGAGGTCTGGTAATACTTTATAACCGTCAAAACGCCTGGGATTATTTTTTGATTTATAAAAAACAAATTTAATAGATAAAAAAAATTAAGTTGCCAAAAATATTTTATTCGAGTTATTTTTTTGCAAATACTATATGCTGCGCAGTAACGAAATAACAGCAAACGCTCTCCCAGACTGACGGGAGTGGATTCGTCAATTGAAGAAATTATATTTTTTCACAATCTCAACTTGCCAAAAAAAAAGAACCTTTCGAAAATTCGTCGCCAGCTTTCCGTCTAATTGTCTGTGTAAGTCATTCATCAGATTCAAGAAGAAAAGAGGTCTTAAGGTTTGCACATATTCGTAGGCCCTAAAATAATCATTATTAAAATATACATTGAATCGCCTACCAATATCATTTAATAAAAATATACACTCATGTGGTAAATCACCAAAAATTATAATTAATTTGAGTAGGAAGCATAATGAAAATGAAATATTTAACCTATTAAATATTTCAACAGAGCTTTGATAACAGAACAGATAGAAAATCTACGAAACAGTACCGATGACGAGGATAACAGAAAGAAGATTGAAAAGTTAGAAGACGACCTCGCTATGCGTAAAGCGCAAATATCAGATTTACAGCAGAAGATATTAACCGCCGATCAAGGTATAGTGTTTTACACATTATTTATCCATTTTACATCAAGAACCTGACACTCTACACCTCCCTTACTTCATAAATCTTCCCTTACTTTGTATTTATAAAAGTATATACATTCCAAGATCAAGTATCTATTTCAGTAATGTAGTTTTTTTTTTATAGAATAGGGTGAAATGGTAGGCCCATAGACATCTAGATCTATCCTCCATTAAAAATCAAAATGCAGATGCGTTGTCACCAGTGAGGACTGAGATGGAATGCCTCGTTTCCAGTAAAAAGGGTCTCCGGTTCTCTACACTCACCATACGAAATACAGCAGCATTAATCTACTATTTCACGCTGGTATTCTGTGAGAGCGTGGTCCTTCCCCGGTCGAGCCAATCCATTTGTGTTACAACTATACTACTAATATAACTGCAGCATGGCTCTACCACGTAAAAACGTTTAGGTGTTTTATAATTTAATATCAACCTAATTACCACTATGATCTTTTATTGCATTACAGTAGTTCCAATGTAGCAATCCATAGGACCTATATATTATTATGAAAAAATCCTATCATAATATTTATAAGAAAATGTACTTTAGAGCTGATAATAATTGATCTTAAAGTTAAGTTACTGCATTTTCATCATACATCATATGCAATAATGTTTTAAAATGAAAACAACACAATGGAAAAGTTTTTAAGACAACGCCTTACAAAAATATGTATTGGTGTTCATTGATTTATGTAATTAGAGGTTAATAATGCTCCATGAAATTATAACAAGAAAAAATATTTTATTCCTTATCTAATTTTGCAAGCACAGTGAATTTGATATTCATCGTCCACAGAAAATAAATCGCGAACACAATGGGACAATATTCAATCGATGCTTGAAGCTAAAGTTGCTCTCAAATGTCTGTTTGAGCTTTTGGTGGACACAAAGAGGGAACTTCAAAACCAGAGTGAGAAAGGCTATCAAGCACGTTACGAGGAGGCAAAGGAGGCTTACGACAGGCTGGTAGTGGAGTATGAGAATAGCAAGGCTGAGTTTGAGAGGCAACTGGCTATGGTCAAACTGCAAAGTGAACAGAAGGTGAGTCAAAAATATACTTTTTAAATTAGTATTCACAAAAATTTCACACAAAATTAATTATTGTTAATGTTGTAGTATTCTTTTTTTTTCTTTTCTTAAAACAAAAAAACGTTACTCCTACACTAGGATTTTCTACTGTATCGTGGGGGCAGTTTACAAACATAAATTGTACAAGGACAAACATCCAGGCCCGGAACAATTATTTGTAGGCCATACAAATCCTATTATTTCAGAGGCTTTAATAAAAGGCACATTTGTACTTTTTGTAAACAAAAAAAAAACAATTTTTTAAAGCTATAAATAAAGTTTGCAACTTATTATACAATGACATAAGTAAAGAATGGTAAACCTCAATGTAATTTTTTTTATAGGTTGTGGGTAACAAGCGAGCACACAGTTCACCTGATGGTAAGTGGATGCTGTGGCCCACAGACATCTACATTTAACTTCGATTAAGAATCAAAATGCGGATGCATTGTCACCCTTGAAGCCTAAGATGGAATACCCACAACAGGATTAAGCTGCTATTTTATGCTGGTATTCTGTGAGAGCTTGGTTCTTCCCCGGTTGAGTCGACTCATTCATGCTATAACCATAATAGCTGCAGCGTGGCTCTCTCATGTATATTTAACTGGTCTTTGTTTTATAATAAATTCTCTCCCCGTTGTTTTATAAAAACCAGTCCCTTCGTGGTTCGCCCACGCTCGGCATAGCAGTCAGTGCACTACACTAGACCCAGGCCTGTCTTAATAAATAAACTTTAAATCTTCTAAAAACAAAAGAGTAATTACTTATTTGTTTTCTATGAATGGCCTAAACTATTTAATACATTTAAAATTTCCTAAAAAATGTGTTTAAATCCATATAATTTTATTTTATTAAGTAAACTAAAAATGTTTATAAAGTTCCTCTTGTGGGGTTATTGCTGGATGCTCCCAGGTGTTTAGAAATTTTTAGGTAGGTATTTATTTAATATTAATTTTTGGTTGTTTTTTTCTTTGTTTGAATGACATAATATGCGTTTTATCCAAATTAATTTTAAGTTACCATATAAGCTACCATGTTGTTTTCAAATGTTTTTATATTTAATTGTACAATATACAAGATAAATCATCATTAAATAGCCTCGCTAGGATTCTTGCTGGTCTTCCCAGGACAAAGGCTTTTTACGAACCAGGGGTTAAAGCATTTATCCAATATGTATTATTTGCAATGTATCTTGAATAAAAATTATTGATTCATTTATTACAATTATATTAGTAGTATAGACAATTATATTTGTAGTAAAGTTGTAGCACTATGGGTCGACTCGACCGGAGAAGGACCACGCTCCTTTCCCTTACTGCGCCCGCCATAACAAAAAACAGCTTTGTACGGGGGCCTCTGTCGTCATCTCAACTGGGGGCACTTGTTTTAAATATTTATGTTTCTCACGACCTTTCATTTATGTTTAAAGAGGTTTTAGTTACAGTTATTTAAAATCGATAAGATTTTCGATAAGTAGAAACAATAACCATAACATTTAAATGTTTATTTTATTTTGTACAGCTCTTTGTTTCTAACGGATCTTGATAAAGTGTAGTTACTGACAATAAATTTTGTTTTATGAATGAAATATCGTAAGTTTTTATTTTATTTTTATGTCCTTACAATCAATATAACATTTTCTTCTTAAATGAACCGAAATTATGCATGTAATAATTATAATAATTCTACTTTTTCACTTGCAAACATTTGCTAAAAATTCGACAATAGACAGTTTGCGCGTGCTTTGTAAACTCAATTTCAAAACCTTTTTGTGTATATATTTTATATCGTCTTCCTTTATTTTTCTTATACAATCATATAGATATAACATTTAGCAATTCCTAGTAAAAGTATTTACTATGGTATTCCAATAAGAAATATACTATTATTATTTTATTAGAATCTTATTAGAAATCTTGACCGTTATGAATTGTTCGCGTAGAGGTTTTATATTTCTACTTTTTTTATCAATTGAAACATAAAAAGTTACTGTTGTTGTAACTTAGATCATTCAAAAACGTTACGTAGTAAAGATAAATAACATTACTTACATTTTTTGAAATGAAAATCCAACTAAAATCACAATCACAAAACTTCAACGATTACACAACTAACCGCAACAGCAGCGCAACAAAAGCGAATGGCTGTTATATTTGATTTTGTCTATGTAACCGAGTGAATATAATTCTTCAGAATATTCTTTAGTTCGTTCAGAATCGAATGAAATAGTGTTCAATTAAAAATATACTGTATTTTTATATCAATTAAGACGAAAATAGCAGCACGTAATGCGGACATGAATTCATGTCCGCGGTACTCAACGGTGTATACCGTGGACATGTTAACATGTCCACGGTACCTTAGGGGTAATTTTTCGAAATTATTTATATTATAATATATTTTTTCCAGGTTAGTGCATTAGTAGCACTGCAACGGGGAATGCTGGGCGGAGGAGATAAGAGTGAAGCATGCAAACACTTACAAAATGTAATACAATACCAACAGGACCGCTTAGAGCAAGTGGAACAAGAAAATGTATGTAGTATTAAGTTAGTGTAAAATGATAAGCCTTTTTGTTTGGTATTAAAGTCTATATTTAAATGGTGTGGTCTTTTTATGACTGTAGTTAGACAATTATTTAAAGATAAATAAAATAAAATATTGATCCAATCTCAGTTTTGGTCCCAAAAAGAAAAATTTTCAGATTCATCTTTCATTTGATTGTAAGCATAACATTGTTCACTATGAGAATAATATGTTTGTTGTGGAACTTATTCAGACACTAAAATTGTAGTTTTCTTAAGTTTTAATTAAGAAATTTTAGAAAATAATGATGTCATTTTGCAATCAGTAAACTGCACTTACTTGGATATACCTCATTTAAAAAAGTTAAAGTTACAGCCTATGTACGTCCCAATGATGAACCAACCCAGTTTGCTCGCCTACTGTGAAATTTACAAAGAGACCAAGCTACTCAATTTAATTTATATTGCAAAATAATATGATACACATTCTTTATTAACAGAAAAAGTTAGCTGACGAACTTGAACAATTGCGGACTGCTAGTAAGAAAGGTAAAAAGAGAATCAAAAAGGAAAATGACACTGTATTAAAGAAAGTAGAATATGCTGAGCCCACTGATGAAGAGGAAGATGAGTTTGAAGATCCCGACAAAGATCCTGACTGGAGAATGACACCATTATTTAAGCGTATACAGGTATTTGGAATAAATATTATACAGAATATAATTGTGTATTTTAGCTAATAACATTTATAGTAATATTCATTTAGTTTTTATTTATTTTATATCTTTTCCTATATTTGATTACAAAATAGCTTAACCTACTTTGACAAAACAAATAGCTGGTCTTGCCTCCATAGTGCCTATGCGTGCGTCATTCCAGACCGTCTTAGTGCTTCTCACTAGCCTGCTCGTCAAAGAACACTGCATGTTATATAGGGTATATATAAATAACCTCCAGACTGAATTTCGGTCACTGTAGCCTGTCTCAACCGAGACTTGTCATCTGCACTGGTCAGTATTGTAGTGCACAAGTGTATACGTACAAGTACAGGTACGCTCCCTATTCTTTCACTCTAATAGTCTGAGGGGACGGCAATCCAACACAGTCTAAGAGAAATCAGCCATAGGACCAAGGTAACGGCTTAAAGTATTTCCGAGGCAGTTATATTTATTTATCATTATCATCATCATGATAAATAAATATAACTTTATTTACACTTTATTGCACCTTAATAAAAGTTTTACAAAGGGCGGACTTAATGCCATTAGGCATTCTCTCCCAGTCAACCCGGGACGTGTGTAAATTGTGTGATAGGTGACAAAATAAAATAAACAATAGAGTAAATCGAGGAAAAAATTACTCATAAACTTAAAATAATAAAAATTAATATAGTAGAAAATTATTAAATAATAATAACTTAACATATTATCTGCTGTATCCTGTTAAGCACTGATTATAAGCAATTCTATTAGCTTTTCATCGTTTTGCCGACGTATCCAGGACACCTAAAAAGTGTTTCGTCAAGTCACAGGTCAAAAATAATATGGTACTTCCGACAGCCTCGTTGGTCTAGTGGTCGCGTACGTGGTTGCTGATCATGAGGTCCTGGGTTCGAATCCCGCGTTAGGTCAAAAAAAGTTAATAGTTGAGATTTTCTGTCTAGAAATTCTTAGTAAATAGCCTGGAGTCAGGAAGTTGGCGGTATTTTATCCCCTTGGCTCAGAAATTTCGTAAAGCCGTTGGTCCTGCCCCTGATCTCTCTCTGGTAGTATTACCGTCCTATTGGACTATGAGAGTGAAGGAATAGAGAGTGCGTCTATATATGCTATTCTCTCCCGCGCACATGGCAATTCTTCGTTAAGACTGGCTACCACGACCGAAATTCTGTCAGGAGGATATTATTATTAACAAAATTATTGCTCACTTTGGTGTTAATTTTTGATTGATCACAGATAACATTTTATCATCATCATCATTATCATCCTTACACCCCTTCACAAGTAAGTTCACTGTTGAACATAGGCCTATCCCTTGTAAAAGCCGCAAAGCACGGTTCTGATCCACCTGCATCCATCGACTTCCTGCATGTCTATTACCGGGTTGGGGGGTCGCCCTACACTTCGCTTACAAGGCTGCCACTCGAGAACCTCTCTTCCCCATCGGTTGTCGGTTCTTCGAGCTATATGGCCGGCCCATTGCCACTCAGATTACTAATACGTTGGGTAATGTTGGTCACTCTGGTTCTACTGCAGATATCCTCATTTCTAAGTTTATCACGCAAAGAAAACCCGAGCATAGACCTCTCCATTCCTGCTGAGCGACTTTGAACTTCCTTGTACGGCCAGCTGTGAAGGACCACGTCTCAGGTCCATATTATCACTGGCTAGACGCACTGATTGTACAATCCCGTTTTTAAGTTTTGAGGTATACTTGGCGGGAAGATGTGTCGTGATTTCCCGAAAGCTGCCCAGCCGAGTTGAATCCGTCTAATAAATAATAAAAAAAAATACGTGTGGCACTCGGTGACTGCCGCGGTAAAGCTATTCCATAGCATTTTTTATCAACTTATGCAATTATAATTATTTATTTATTTTATTTATCTATTATTATTTATTAAGTCTTTGATATTAAATCAAGTTACACTTTTTGAGCGTGGTGACCGATAAGAAAATAATTTTTTTTCTCTTATTGAATAAATGAGAAGTTAATATTGTTTAAAATATTTTTAATATCTTACAATACATGTAGGTTATTCAGGAATTTTTATCATTGAGTTAGCAGCTAGTGTACACGCATACGTCTAGTCGCACGCACACAAATACCGTGTCGAAGTCTGCCGAGTGCCGAAGTCTGCCGAACTGAAACGACGTTAGACGATGCACGGCTTTCAACGCCACATCTCCGTGCCCGTCGGAGTGGGGGAGCGTGAGGTTTTTTTTCGTTACGGAATTTCTGGATTCGGTCCCCGCGCTCAAGGCCCGCGATAGAAGCTATGCAATAGCTTAAAAATAAATAAAACGAAATAAAATATATCAAGTACCCTACAAATTAGTTATTAAATCACCTACCCACCTTATTGTCTATAATAATCTAATATATGCGAGACGATTCGTAATGACTTTAGGAAACATCACGTAGATGCAGCTCAGAAGGGAAATCGGTATGTATTTCTTCAAGAGAACGTTGTCGCTTTTCTTGAAGAACAAGACTACCACATTTCTACTCCACGCCTCCTGTGTAGTGCCACCATGGAGGACGGAATTAAAGAGCTACTAAAGGACTTCAAATATCAGTTTTCCACTCGCTTTCAGAAGCTCCACTGTAATTCCATCCTCGCCCGGGGACTTGCTGTTTTTAAGGTGTTGGAGAGCCATTCTTATTTCGAATCTCGCTCAGACTGACGTCCGGAATATTTATTACTACAAGAAAAAACACTTTTATAAGTGTTGTACTACCAAATATTTTTGTGCCACTTTCTTTTATAGCTGTTTTTAGTTTTCGATCTTTAAATGTAATTATGTATTATAATAATCTATTCGCATTGGGATAAACAATTTTCACAAACAAAAAAATTATAAAAACATGAGCACGACCGTCATTTAAATTCAATTTTACTTTGTAATTCATGTAACGGTAATTTACCATTCTAGATATACTATATTTTTCGAAAACTGCATTTAATCACCGCGCGACAAGCTTAACTCATATTAAGGCAACAGGAACATTATTCCCACATTGAATTTCACAGTTTTAACGATCAATGGGACGCGTTTTCCCATGAGCTGTCACTGTCATTTCGTAGTTGAATATATTATCTATGGTTTATATGTGATCCTGTGATCGTAGACAGAGAAATCTATAGACAAATTGACGCCTTCTTTCGCATTCGCACACGAAAAAGATAGATTTATGCATACGTCTTGCATAGAAATGAGACAGAGCGGTGTGATTGTTTGTCCCTTTCTCCGTGCCGGTTTTTTTGTTTAGCAAACTACACTTTGCTAAACAACTTTGACAGTTCGTAGTGATCTAAGGAGTTTAGAAGTTGGTTTAAGTGGGAAAAAAGTGTTTTGCGAGCTGAAGATTGGTGAATCTTGTTCAGTTCAGTTCTTAGAACAATTAAAACTTTTATCTAAATATGTTTAAAAGTCTTAAAGATTATTGCATAATCTAAAACTACGTTATCGTTCTTTCTCACTCGAGGCCACGCTAATCATTAGTCTATAGGTTTCTCAGTCTACGCCTGTGATCGTGTTTTCGAACGAAAAAAATAAATAAAAAGAGATGTCAATGTCATTGTCACAATAATTACTCACCGGTTATTGTATTTTTATGCAGTTTCTTAATGAAATAGATAATATGTCGAGAAAAAATCCGGTAAGTGTTCATTTTTGGTTATTTTGCATAGATGTAATGTTCGTTCAGTTGTTGATGTGTTTTATTTTTCTAAATGACTTGATTTCATTGAGTTATAATGTACTACGTACTAGAGAAGACGCCTCAACTCGAATGTTTGTAACACGCGTTAGAGCGCACGCACTCCAACTCATTTAGTCTGTGTCAAGCGGTTGCCGCAACGTGAGGCGTTTGAGTGAAGAGTTGTTTTTAAATTGATATGCCTTCGTGTGCATTGAGATAATATTCAAACAACTCGAGAAACATAAGTAAAAGTCAAGGGGTGACTTTTCATCGGTAAGTTCAACATATTATTTTTAAAACACGCTTTATTTAATTATATTTTATCAACTGTAACATATACGTCAAAGAGTAAAACATTTTTATGCGCAGACTTGACACTATTGACGTATAATGTTAAATAATTATGGACAGTAAAATATTGATATATAATCACGGTAGGAAATGTTAATGCATTAAAATTAATTTTTTATTATTCGGATTTAAAGGTTTCATCGGCCGTTTCATGAGACAGGAGAATCATGGATCAAATTTGTTCAGAAGAATCGCAGCGAAGATACGTGGTTACCGTCAGATTATACACGCATATGTTCCGTGTATTTCAAAGAAAACGACAAATACACTACAAAAAGAAGAAGAGTATTCTTAAAGAAATCTGCAGTACTATGTGATAATGTAATTATATTATTATGTAACATTGCTGGGATTTTTGTTATTTTTTTGTGATTAGATGAAGAACGCGATGTTTTTATAATATTCAGTATATTTACGGGACTTAAGAGAGGTGAAATCCTCGGCGCGCGAGTCATACTAGTATATGGCGGTTTTTAAAATTGTTACGCTAGAATTTTTACGGGCTTCCTAAATCACTATTTCTTCTTTTTTTGAATAGGAAGTATCAGAACCGTTGTTTGAATCAGGAAGCAGTTCAAATTCAATTTTTGATAATCCGAGAAAAATTGTACTTAAAAATAAAAAACGCATGAAATCTGCAACTAGAAAGAAACTTATTGAGAAATTTAAGAAAATACAAAGACAAAATATCTATCTTAAGAAAAAATGTGCTTCTTACAAATCAATTGTACAAAATTTTAAACATAAATTCGGTCCCAACTTAAATGCCGATATTGATTTAATGGCTAAAGCAGAAGTTTTGGAGTTACTTAAATCTTTAATGAAAAACAACAAACTGAGCACGCATTATTTATTATACACTGCACCTCTATGTAAATTCGCATTAACTTTACACTATTATTCACCAGCGGCATATAAATAC